GCCTCTTTCTGAGCATCGCTCTTCTCTTCCTCCTTGTGCGAACCCGTGGCTCCAGCGAGAACCTCTTCCTCCCGGTCCTTGAAGGCTCCTAGGAGACCAGGGTGAGGGCACCAGGCAACCTGCATGCCGGCACGACGACCAGCTTCGACTCCTGGAACCGCATCCTCAAACACAAGGCACTCCTCTGGCTTAATCTCTGTCTTGCCCTTGTTGCGCAGCTCAATGTTGATGGTCTCCAGAGCAAGCAAGTAGATATCAGGAAGAGGCTTGCCTCGGCCCTTACCGATGCGCGGATCATCACCAAGAACCTTGTTAGGTTCGGGGAACGCCGAGAACAGCTCGGTCAGATGATCAGTCTTTAATTTGTAGTTGCCTCTGTGGGATGATGTTGCTAGCGCGATATACACAGGTTCGTCGGTTGACTGCGTCGACACAAGGTTGGACAACAGAGTCGGCACACCGGGGAGCGGCTGTGACTTTGGGAAGTAGTATCGCTGAAGAGCTGATCGCTCCTCGTTCAGCTGCTCCTCGCTGATGGGGAGCTGGGCAAACTCGTTGAAGATCTTGCTGGACTAAATATAGAGTAAGTACGCGAGTATATAATGGTATAGTGTGAGACGAACCTCCGGCTGGGGTCGACCCTGAAGCTGCGCCTTGATTGACCAAGGGAGCATGGGTCTGCCGTACTTCTGGAGGATTTCATTCGTAACTATGGTGTACAAATCCTCTGAGTCAATCAACAAGCCGTCCATGTCGAAGAGACATGCTCGGATGCGAGGAAGGCTGTCAACCGAGTCAATTGATGTTCAACTGCGACAATAATCCACTACGTTCTACTCACTCATTCGTGGAAGTCATGGCTGTATGGTCTGTTTACCAGTGTTGGAGTGGGATGTTGACAAGGTTTTGATAAGACGCGGGGAGTAAACGTTATCTGTATCAGTCCCGTGATTGAGCCCTTGGCAACATCTCATGTTCTCGCCCGACGACGATCTACTCACAAAATGAGCAAACCTTCTAATGCGCCCGAACGCGACGGGAAAGGTACTCCCGATGATGCCGATGACAGTGGCGAGGAAGATGTCTTCCACGATGCCCACTTCCCCGCCGAGGAAGAAGCCGTGAGTCTTAACGGTGTTCAAGCTTATAACCGGAGTCGCATATTGACTTCAACCTTCCTTGCGATAGCAACTCCTGAAGGAAGCCCACGAAATCAAATCCGAGGCAAATCAGCTGTTTCTCGCGACAAGCTATGACCAAGCCATTTCCTGCTACGATCGAGCTCTCGCTTCCTGTCCGATCTACCTTGACTACGATGTCGCCATAATTCACAGTAATATTGCTGCTTGCCATCTGAAATTGGAAGACTGGAAGGCCGCAGTAGACTCCGCAACCATCTCCATCGAACGATTGAATAAAATTATCCCGCCGCCACCAGAGGACAAGGGCGAGGAGTCGAAGGGGAAACAAATCCCAGAACCCGACAGCAAACACACAGATGCCGTGGTTGAACTATCCGGCGACGACGAAGAAGCCGAGTTGAAGGAACTACAACGATTGCAAGAGGAGGATGAGCAGAGAAGCAAGGTGATGCGACTTCGAGCCAAAGTCCTCATGAGACGCGCAAAGGCGAAGACACAAATTGGTGGCTGGGGTAGTCTGCAAGGTGCCGCAGAGGACTACCAGGCCCTTGCTGCGATTGAAAACCTTCCGGCAGATGATAAAAGAGTTGTTCAACGGGCGTTGCGGGAACTTCCCGAGCGCATCAATAAGGCGCGGGAGAAGGAGATGGGTGATATGATGGGCAAGCTGAAGGATGTGAGTACTTCTTCCCTGCTAATATCCATGTCAAGATGATTGAGCTATACTGATTTTGGACAGCTCGGCAATGGGATTCTGAGTCCATTTGGTCTGTCAACAGAGAACTTCAACTTTGTCCAGGACCCGAAGACAGGTGGCTATAGCATGAACTTCCAATCCTGATCAGATTTGGTTAGGCAGACACGATACCGTCATCTGTTCTTTGTACACTGGGCACATGCGAGCCCTGGAATGGATATTGTTTCAGCGTCATATGCATACCTGGCAGGAAGCCATGAAGGCGTTCTGACTTTTGCCCTCTTTATTTTATTTCAACAATGCATATTTTGATAGTGAAATAGCCCCATTCACTCAATTATGGAGGAAGAGAACATGTCATATCCAAGAGTCTGCGCTTATATCAATCACAGTCTCTTTTCGTAGTCCTGCACAAAATTTGCCAACTTAGAAGTAGGCATCTAATGATTATCTGGAACTGTGTTCCTTTATCACAAAGTGACGACGTTTTCCTTCATTTGATTTGCATGCCTGCTTTTAGGGGTCATGAAACATGCTCAGCAAGATCTTTGTAAATATAATCATAGGAGTGTGGTGGCCTTTGACCCCAGGCAAGACTACAAGTGAAACCGCAATCCATTCGATCTTAAAAGCCCGGCTTTCGCACCAGAAGTATTCCAAACAACACACTTTCGCGCCCAGAATTATTCCACGCACAGCCTCGTACATCATAAACCATGGCTCTCAAAGTCTTCACTACTGAATCGATCGGTACGCAGAGAAACCACATCGCCATCTACATCGAAACCGATCCCAATGAAGACAGGGGCTGGCTGCACCATGTCACCGGAACAATCCTGAACGGCATGGATTACACACCCAGGCAAACACCCAACCCGGAGGTGCTGCCTGAGCATGTGCCAGACTCAAAAAAGCAGATTGGTATCATTGAGGAAGAAGATCTGGAGAGGTTCCGGGAGGAATGCTGCCTAGCAGTTCTTCCCCCGCGGGCCCAGGTGACGCTCAAGGGAACCCGACTATATCCTGATACCCCGCTATACCGCTGTACAGAGTGGCTGAAGGATGTTGTGGAGATGGCTTTTAGGAAGGGGATCTTTAAGCCTTTGTGATGAGTTAGTTATTTCTTTGGTTTGGTGTCCTTCGAGATATTGTACTAACACAAGCAGTCTGTAGTTCCATACACACCATATCAGACATCAGCCCTACAGTTACGACTCTGTTGGTATCTAGATAGCATTGAAATTACTTGTTTTTGCCTGTGATTTTATGTCTTCTGCGACCGTTCTTGAGAGCATCATATAGATTACGATAGCTGTAAAACATACGAGAATATTAAAACAATATGCATCGTTGGGCTGTAATTGAAGAAGACGTTTGTCTAGGAGTTGCTTCTTGTCAAGAAACAGGTTTCATTTTCTTTCAGTTTCCCTTTGATTCTAATCTTGTAGCAGAATTGTATATCTCAAGACAATGCCTTCTCACATATGAATGCTTTCATTGTCTTGCCACTTCTCACCACAACATCACAGCAACTTGTGTGACAACCATGGTTTCTTTCACGGTAGTAGACTATATAAGGCCACAAATCCTACCCATTCTACCCATTCTTCTCCAACTCGCACTCTCCATCTCACAGAACCCAAGGTAGGCATTATGTCTTTAAACGTTTATACCACCACAGAGAATGGACACTGGGGGTGGGACTTTTACGTTGAACTCGACATGCCCTTCTGGAGAGGGCGGGTAGAGAGGATGAGCTGGACACACTTCTTGGAGAGCGATCAGAGTGGGAGAACGCAGTGTGTAGGTCGACTCAACCGCAACACTAGATCCGAATCCAAACTAAATAAGATCGCGACTATTGAGGAAGCAGATGTGCCATGGGTGCATGAAATCTGCATTGAAGCGATTGGGGCACTACGGGAACTGACCGGTGTTGCAAACGGCGACGATCCCACGATGCCTACGCATTTGGCGCAAATGCAAAGGCAGTGGTGGTTGTCAGTTTGGAAGACGGCCCTCAAAAGGGGGATTTTTACGCCTCTTGACTCCGTACCATGCTGCCCGCCCCTCCCTCAGGGTTTAGAATAAATGATATCGGTGGGTCGCGTTCGGGTAAGTAGACAACCAAATCGGCGCGATATAGACCAGCAGACATCGATTGGCGTAATTACATGAATACTTTTGACTATTGCAAATATCTCGTCCCCTGATAAATTCCATTGTAACCCTCGACCTTCTCACTCATTTGGTGGAACACAAACTGCGCCAGACGTGCAGCAGGATACAGCCGCAACCCCGCGGGATTGACAACCTGCATTAATGCCCCGACAGCCCCCTCGTACCCGCTATCCATGACACCGGCATGTATCGTCACCCCGGATCTAAATAATGAGCTGCGAACGAAAATCTCGCCCATCACATCCAGAGGAACGGAGACGGTCTCGTTGAATTCCACAAGGTAAGAACCCTGTGCGAGATCTAGATATGGGTTTGTATTTTCCTTTGTTGATAGAAAGGGTATCTCTTCAGTCGAGGCCGGCTGGCGAAGTTTGTTATCTAAGTCGATCGTTCCGGGCGAGGTCCATTTGAGAACGCGCTTCAGCGTGAGGTCTACACCGCAGGGCTGGGCCTGAAGTGTGGGATATTTGACATTTCGGATAATAGAGCGGGCAATGAGAGAGCGCCCAGGGAGGATCATGATCAACGTCAGAGTCTGGTCTCGGTCTTGTATCCTGTAATCGCTGTACTTGGTGGTGGAAAGGGGAGATGCAAACAAAGCAAACAAAACAATACAAAACAAAACAAAACAAACAGCCCTGGGCAGGTGTCGATGCCTTCTGGGCTGTATGTCACTGCTTACATAGGTACATAGGGATCTATGGAAATGCGAAATGATGTTGAACCGAGGAAGCTAGAGAGGGCCGAGTTTTGGTAAAGGACGAGTTTATCATCCAATTAAAAACGTAACGTGGGGGGCTAAACGTGGGGGCCCACATTTTCTACGGGACACATATGGAGCCCTCAATGCCGAGATCTACTCCCGAGGTATCTGACAATATACTTAAGGATCTATAGCATTTGAGCCCTTTGGTTTGAATGTATCTCGGGAAGTGACTGTATCCAAAATGCCAACTATTTACCGTTCCCCATATCCAGATATGGATATCAAATCAGTTGATTTGGTATCCTATCTGTTCTCAAATCCTCTCAACACACCCCTGGACCGTCCTTTGTACATCGACGCTATTTCAGGAAAGCAATATACTCTTGGAGATGTGATTCAACGCACACGCTCTCTATCCAACGGCCTTCGGCAAAGCATTGGCGTTGAGCCCAACGATGTTGTAGCATTGCTGAGTCCCAACACAATCGATTACCCTGTGGTATGCCATGCAATTATCGGCTCCAGGGCTATCGTTTCTCCAACCAGTGCAGCTTTGACCGCACTTGAGTTGAATGCTCAACTCAAGACTAGCGGGGCAAGATTCATCATTGTCCATTCATCTTTGCTGGAGACTGCCCAAAAAGCAGCACAGGGAACATCCATTGAGAAGATCGTCTTGATAGATGGCCAATCGCCAGTTAATGGTCAACCTACATGCAATCATCTCGCCAGCACATTTGCCCCCGATGATTTCCTCGCTATAGATCCGTCCGAGGCAGATAACCAACCGGCATTCATCTGCTTTTCATCTGGAACATCAGGCGCAGCCAAGGGTGTCGTTACAACACACAAGAATATCACCTCAAATATCCAGCAATGGCGTCACTATCTAGACGGTGGTCTTCCCTCCCAGCGACCAGCAAGAAAATCCGCCGTTGCATTCTTGCCATTCAGCCATATCTATGGATTCAACCTGTTCATGTGTCAGTGTTTGATGTGGGGTACAACAGTGGCCGTCATGACAAAATTCGACCTCGATCTGTACCTCAGTTGCATTCAGAAATACCGACCAGACGAGTTGTCATTGGTGCCACCCATTGCTCTGCTGTTGGTCAAAGATCCACGGGTCTCCAAGTACGATCTAAGCAGCGTGCGCAAGATCATGTCCGCCGCTGCACCTTTGACAATCGAACTAGCCTCCGCGCTCGAGGCCAAGCTCACGGCCATTGCCAAGACAGAGGTATTCTGTACCCAGTCATGGGGTCTGACAGAAACCTCCCCCTGGCGACAATCGTCCCAAATTACCGCATGGATAAGCGGAATACGGGCGTGGGCTGTCTTGCCCCGAACATGCAGCTCCGCTTTGTGGATCCCGAGTCCATGAAAGACGCAGCTGTCAAAGTTGACGGGTCCACAGAGGCTGCGGAGATCTGGTGCCGTGGTCCGAACGTCGTGGGCGGCTATTACAACAACGACAAAGCAACGGAAGAGTCATACCACGTGGACGAAGATGGGACGAGGTGGTTCCGCACGGGTGATATCGGCACCATCGATAGAGATGGGTATGTCGCCATCCTGGATCGCATCAAGGAAATGATCAAGTACAAGGGACTGCAGGTCATCCCTAGCGAGCTGGAGGGAAAGCTCGTCGACCACCCTGATGTGGAGGATGCGGCTGTGACTGGAATGTGGGTGGAGGACAGGGCCACTGAGCTCCCGGTTGGCTTTGTGGTTTTGAGTCGCCAAGCTAAGGACCGGGATCAGAAGGCTGTTCTTGATGGGATCCACGCTTGGCTGAATGAGCGCGTTTCCAACCACAAGCGTCTGCGGGGGGGCATCCAAGTCTTGTCGCAAATTCCCAAGTCGCCAAGTGGAAAGATCCTACGTAGGGAGCTGAGAGATCTACTGAAGAGTCAAGTGCCTAAAGCTCGTCTGTGATCGAGGAGTAAATATTCTGTGTTAACAGTACCGTGTATAGATCAGATCGTAAAGTAATAATTCAAACCGTTCAATTGAAAACTGGGGCATATTTTTGCGTATTCCAAATATTGTGTCACTTGACAGATATACATGCTACATCCTACATAGGCCAACCAATCCAATTCTCGCAAGTATAATATCCAGTCTAACACATCGGAATGTGAAATCTCGGGAGATTTGCAGTCGGGGCCCGCGGGCTCCGATCGGAGACAATTTACGAACTTCGTTGAGACTCACTAGTTTCATCTTCTTTTCTTATGCGATGCTGATCTTAAATTAAGCTCATCGCACATTGCACATATTTTCTTTCATTATTTCTTTATCTCGACTTCCGACTTTACGCGAACTCCCTTTTCGCCCGTGGGGTCGATCTGCTCCTACGATTGCGATTTCTACCCTCACTCTCACCTCTATTTGCCATGACATTATGGAGGTGGCCTTCCTCATCTGAGAAGGAGGGAAAGAAACCGAAATTCGTCGAGTTGAGGTCATCAAAATGGTTTATCATGTTCGTCGTCGCCTTTGCTACGGGGACGGATATCTTCATGTACGGTCTTATCGTACCGGTCACGCCAACTGCATTAAAAGACAGAGTCGGGATTTCAGAGGGGGATGTTCAGAGCTGGACATCGATTCTTCTCGCTCTCTATTCGGCTGCTTTGTTAGCCTTTTCGCCCGTTGTCGGGTACATCGCTGATCGAGCCGAGTCCCGTCGGTGGCCTTTGCTGGTTGGTCTCGTTGCGCTGGCCGCTGCGACCGCCCTGCTATGTGTCGGTACCCATATCGGATTGTGGATTGCTGGTCGCTTGTTTCAAGGTGCGGCCGCTGCGGTGGTGTGGACAGCCGGCTTGGCACTGATGGTAGACACTGTGGGAAAGGACGACCTCGGCCAAGCTATTGGCTATGTCTCCATGGCTATCAGTATTGGAACGCTAGCCGGGCCTCTTCTTGGTGGAGTTGTCTATGAGCATGGTGGATATTATGCCGTGTTCGGCCTTGCCTTTGCTTTCATCGCCATCGATATCATCCTGCGATTGGTGTTGATCGAGAGAAGACATGCTATCAAATGGCTTGCACCGGAGATGACACCACTTTCTGTACATGGAGATCAATCGACGGAAAAAAAGTCCGGGGAATCCTTAAAACGTCCCATGTCACCAACCAACGGCTCTGAGGCCCGTGGATCCTTAAAACGTCCCATGTCACCAACCAACGGCTCTGAGGCCCGTGAATCCCAATCTCCTTCTCCCTCACGGAGTGCGTTCGGGCGTGTCGCCATTTTGTTGACCTCGCCCCGTCTCGTCGTGTCCGTCTGGGGATATTTCATCCTGTCAATAGTTCTGACCTCATTTGACAGTGTCCTTCCACTCTTCGTGCAAGAGACATTCCGGTGGCCGCAAAGTGGCCAAGGTTTAATCTTCATCCCACTCATGGTGCCACACCTCTTGGACCCACTGACGGGTTATATTATCGACAATTACCCCAAATCCTGTCGCTACATCACCACAGCGGCATTCCTCGCTTCCGTTCCTGTGCTGGTGCTCCTACGTCTTGTCATGCATAACTCGATGCAGCAGAAGATTCTCCTCTGTGCTCTCCTCGCTTGTGTTGGAGTGTGCATTGCTGTGGCTATGCCACCACTCATTATGGAGGTCTTCTTTGCTGTGAAGGAAAAGGAAGATAAAACTCCTGATATCTTCGGTCGGGGTGGCGCTATGGCTCTAGCTTTTGGGCTGTCGAATATGGGATTTGCGGCTGGAAGTCTGATCGGGCCGTTCTTTGCGGGATTTATTCGTCAGGAGGCTGGTTGGGGGGCGATGGCATGGGCATTAGGATTGATAACTGGCATATCATCTATCCCAATCCTGCTCTTCGTTGGTGGCTGGATCTTGAGAAAGCCGGTCAAGTCAGAGAATGAAGGGCAAGTGACAGACAGCGCACCTGGCCCATGAGTGGGCATACCCAAACAAATCTACTAATAATTCATACGTTCTATGTACATATCTCAATTAGCCTTACTGAATTGTCAGCCATATCAACCCTCTTGATATTTCCAGCACTCCACTCTAACACCATTGTGCATATCACATGAACAACATTTCCCTCGCTCCAATAGAAATTTAAAAATAACAAAAAGGAACCAAGTTTCTCTCCCCACAAGTGTTCCCCGCAGCCCCACGACAGGGCTAATATATAGGCTCGGGACTTGCTTGAAAGAACATCAGCCGTGGCCCCGAGCCATGCCACCCAACTCCGGGGTTCTCCAATCTGTATTTTTTTCTTTTTTTTTTTTGATACCTATCCAGTTCTACAGATCTGAAATTTTACAATGGCCACTCCTGAAATCCAACATTTAGCCCTGAATGCCACATTCAAGGGCATCCAGCGTGATCAAAATGTGCCCGTTCATCAATTCCTGGGTATAAAATATGCCAGTGTGCCGGCACGGTTCGAGAAAGCCGAGCCTGTGCGCCAATTCAATGGAGCCGTTGTTGATGCCTCGAAATATGGGTAAGCTATATTCACCACTACACAGCGGACTTGAGGTATAAATGAATCAATATACTGACATTTGACACAGTCCGATCTGTCCTCAACCAGATGTGGATGTCCGCCATCTACTCCGTATCCCAGAAGACTTTCACATTGCCCCGGAAGCAGAGGACGAATTCGAATGTCTGAATCTAGAGATTACATGTCCTCCCAAGTCTGACGTGACTGGCCCTCTTCCTGTTCTCGTCTGGATCCATGGCGGCTCTCAGATTGTCACATTCTGCTCTGCTGCCTCTAAGATTTGTGACCCGACCAAGATTGTCGCAGATTCTATCGAGGCAGGAAAGCCTATGATCTTTATATCGATCAATTACCGCCTAAATATCTTCAGTTTTGGAGATGGTAAAGAAAAGAATCTGGCCCTGAAAGATCAGCGTTTGGGTATTGAGTGGGTGCGACAGAATATCGCTGATTTTGGGGGTGATCCGGTAAGTCTGATATTCGCCGTTTCTTGCGAATTATGCTCATTGCGTGTAGGAAAATATTACCCTTTCTGGCGAAAGTGCCGGCGCTATCTATACCCATGCTCATCTCATTACTGGCCCTCCTGTGAAAAGAGCCGTGATGGCGTCTGGAACTCTTTATTTGTCCTCACCACTACCAGTCGAAAAGGGACATGGCCTTATTAAAGTACTAGAGGCAAAGGTACGGGAGCTCGGTCAAACTTCACTGCGCGAATCCTCCGTTATTGTACTAGTTCAAGCACTGAAAGAGTGCAATGTGAATACAATGTGGATCCAAGAGGAGCTTGAGCTGGAAGGGTGGGAGACCAAGCCTGAGCAGGTTGAAGAGGTGATGATTGGTGATGTTGAGTACGAGGTGAGTAAAGCCTTAAGTGTAACTGGTTCTCGGGGCGTAATTAACCGGTCTTAGTCTGTTATTTGGCGAAACGGCGTCGAACTCCTCGACGGGGAGACGATCGCAGCTGCATTCGACAGCGATAAGCAATGGGGTACCCAGCTTCGAAAAATGTATCAAGTTGTCGGCGATCGCCCAACTGCTGCGAAGCTGGGAGCTCTAGATCTCGTCAATGATATTCGGTATACGCTTCCCGTCGAGGTCGTTACCGACAAGTTACGCGCGGCCAACAAGCGTGTCTTCCGATATGTGATAGATCAGTCTAATCCCTGGCAGCCATCAAGTCGAGCACACCATGCGGTTGATCTGCTATTCCTCTTCGACGGCGTTGATCTATCGTTCAATCCTGCGGCTAGCGTTGTTGGGAAGGAGATGCGGCAGCGTTGGATTCGGTTTGTCAATGGTGATGAACCTTGGTCTGCCGACCTGAGATTTGCTTTTGGACCTGTGGGTGAGTGCAAGGAGATTGATGAGTCGCAGGTCGCTGCTCGGCGAAGACTTGAGCATTGCAAGGTGCTTAAGGAAGTAGGACCAGGCGCGTATATGCCTATTGTCTTTGCATTGACTGCAGGGAGAATTAGTCTGCTAAATTAGTCTAAAATGATAGACTCGAATTAGATATAATCAAGTGAATGATTACAGTATCAGTGTTTCCCTTATTTCTAGTTGTATATATTTGGCTAGTTGCCTCTACATCATGGCCACTTCAACACCAAACATCAAATTAATGATCACAAGACTCAATTCCACATCAAATTCGTACTAAATTAATAATTCAATCACTTGACTTCAAATCCTTAACATCTCGGCAGTTGAACTACCATACGAATCCCGTCCAAATTCCACCAAACCAGCCCCTAGCCTCTCTCCACGGAGCCTCCACCGTTACTCAGCCCTTACTCATGTGGGGCCTGGAGACGTTCATGACAATGCCTCCTCGCATGCGATATATAGTACTTCTCCGTTCACCGCGTCAATCCGGTCTACCCGGGGCGCCCGGCAAGTCGATTGACCATGACTCTGCCGATTTGCGGGGAGGAGGCTTGACCCTGGGGGTATCCAAGCGCCAACATCTCGCGGCCAACTGATGCATCGTGGCCATGACGCATGTTCCGAGCTCCCTTACCGTATATTTCTCCCCGGATAGGCGGGTCGAATGGAGAATTCTGCTTGGAAATCCTGGATTGTGTTGTTTCTTTTTTTGCCTTGACCCCACAAGTATGGTCTGATCGTTCACAGTGAAGTGACTATATAGAGGTGTTGAACCCTCGGGGTTTACTTGAGAAGACGAATTAATTATCCACGACTTTTCCTAGTTTCTCCTCCGCTTTCTAGCCATTTCCATTACGATGCCTTCTACTGATTCCTTGTCGGATCCCCAGGAGTATGAAAAGATATTCCACTGGGCTGAGACCCAAAAGGATGGAACTATCCCTTCCTTTAATACAAGACGTAACGATCCTTATGAGGTATGTTGTTCCATGACATGTCCTAAGCTAGTGGACCTCTCATTGACACTTCTATAGTATCAATCCGGCTTTGGCAATTCGTACGTATTCTTGCATAACCTACGTCTCCAAGTTTGGTCGACATGCTGATTAAATAACCCTTGAACAGCTTCGAATCTGAAGCCATTCCGGGAACTATTCCCCAGGGCCAAAACAGCCCTCGCAATGTGAGGTTTGGTCTTTACGCCGAACAAATCACAGCCACTGCTTTTGTCGCCCCCCGACACTGCAATAAGAAAGCGTGGCTATACCGTGTCCGCCCTGCTGTGGCTCACCAGGGATTTGTAAGTACACCTGTCATCGTTTGCTGGGTATTAGTGCTGAGACCTCTTGCAGACGGAACTTCCAGATAATAAAGACACCGAGGCAAACTTCCTGCCCTTGAACCCTCGCATCCATGTATCCCCTACCCAGCTAGCATGGCACCCCTTTGATATCCCTACAGGCGAAGATGTCGACTTCGTTTCAGGATTGAAGACTATCGCCGGCTCGGGTGATCCCACACTGCGCGAAGGCTTAGCCACACACGTCTACGTCGCCAACTCAAGCATGAAGAAGAAGTCATTTGTTAACTCCGATGGTGAATTCCTCATTGTTCCCCAGCAGGGAGCACTCGACATTCAAACCGAATTCGGTCCTATCTTTGTGCAGCCAGGCGAGATTGTTATCATCCAACGTGGTATCCGTTTCAGCGTCAATCTTCCGGATGGCCCATCGCGTGGATACATCCTCGAGGTCTGGGGTACACAGTTCGAGCTCCCTGAGCTGGGACCCCTTGGTGCTAATGGTCTTGCGAATGCCCGGGACTTCTTGAGTCCTATTGCTCAATATGAGGTCATTCAAGAGCCGTGGGAGATTATTTACAAGCTTAGCGGCAAGTTCTTCAAGAGTACTCAGAACCACAGCCCATATGATGTTGTAGCCTGGCATGGAAACTATGTGAGTTGGTGTCGTTCCGGTGATGATATCGGATCTCAACTAATGTCGTTTAGGTCCCCTATAAATATGACTTGACCAAGTTCGTCAACGTCGGCTCCATCTCTGTGGATCACATCGATCCGTCTATCTTCTGTGTCCTCACAGCCAAATCCCGCGATCTCACCGCACCTATTGCTGATTTCCTTACTTTCTCTCCTCGGTGGGATGTTGCCTCACGTATGTTTGGTCAATATATTGGTTTGTGAACAGTACTAACAATGACATAGACACATATCGACCTCCCTATTACCACCGCAATGCCGCATCCGAGTTAATGGGTCTAATTTACGGCGGTTACGGTGGCCGCTCGGATGAATTCCAGCCTGGCAGTGTGTCATTCGAATGTGGCAGTATGATCATCCTAAAATCTTTCCCCGAATAAGAGTTCATGCTAATACTTTTTATAGTGGTCCCACATGGCGTTGCCTATGAAGAATTCAAGGAAGCCACTGATAGTGCACCCCCAGCGATGCAGATATCCCAGGCATCGATTGCGTTCATGTTCGAGTCTTGCCGTGCCTTCACAATTACCGATTACGCATGGAACAGCGATAAGAAGCACGAGCATGAGCCCAAGATGTGGGATAGCTTGGTGGACAATTTCTCTTCGCACGCCAAGGAAGTCGAAGAGATTTTGGCCAAGAAGGCGAGGAAATAGTCTTTTTTTTCTATGTACCTTTTAATATGCTTTATTGTTGTATTCTACATGAGCAAATATTAAATCGCTTTGTCACATTTGACCTGATTACTCGAAATCGAACTGGATGAAAACCAACCACACGGGAATTTAGATTCCTATAGAGATATCAAAAGAAACATCACATGCATATACTGACCTTTTTTTGTACTGAGTGGGGTGTTATGGACGTACAGACTCATCCAGAAATGGTATATGCAACTCGAAAGGAAAGCACAGGACAACAGGTCCACCTGACAGTTTAATGCTCAGTCTTCTCAATTTCCAAACGCCGATGCACGGTGTCCACAACCGTCTCTTTCAGACTCCTTAGAGCCAACCCAAGATCTCTGATTGCTTTGCTGCTACCCATACCAAGTACCTCATGCTCCTCGGTCCTTCCAACGGGGAGCTGCCCCTTGAGTGAGGGAAAGTGCTTTTTCATGATATCAGCAAACCGTTGTAGAGTGATGGTCCAACTTTTGTGGCGATGTGGTGTCATACTGAGTACTTTTAGTAAGTATATAGAGGTGATTTATATACAAATTGCCCAAAAGGTTTCCTGCCCACCACAAGCCGAGGCATCAGGTTGACATTTACTGTCACGATGTTACATAATCGTTCGACATCATGTATATAAACACTGCATATGCGAGGGCATGATCGGGTACAGATGCAGTGGATGGTTGCACAACAGCTAGAGACTGCGGCCGACATCCATCTAAGAAATGTATGATACTTATCCTGCTTCTTCCCCTTTCAGCGCTCAACATCTGCTTTCAATTTACATTAGCTCATTTGATATTATAGAAGATTGCCCTACGCTTTCCTATCTCTAGGCGTGCAGAAACGAACAACTGCAAGCCTCTTTAAACTGTCAATGAGGCAGTGCTCTCCTGTCTTCAAATCAATACTAGCTTGACGATATTCCCGCTGTGCAAGAAAGCGATTTCCTTCGGATAGTCAAAAGCCTTGATTAGGTTGATTATTTGAAAAATGGCTTTCACTGGGATCACTGACGTCAAAGGATAAGCTGATAGGGGGGATTCCTTTGCGATATTACTGAATGGATACTCGAGAGCTGAGCCCAAGCAGAGGTAGGGTACATATACGTACGGGGTGTTCCCATTAACTGTACACCGAATTAATATAACGCACTACTCGGTATATTTCCCTAGTACTAATCTCCGAAAGTGAGGTTGCTTAAATGTTTACTATTTCACTAACTCCGAGTATAGATCCCGAAAGTCCATATAAGGTTAAGCGGCTCTGCCAATAGGCAAGGGAAAGGAAAACATATTAAGCAACTTCCTACGTATTACTTTTAAAGGGTCTAACCCTACAATTGGTGTAGGTTGGGAGTTTCGAGTCCCTTAACTCCGAGGTCGGTGGTCGGTGTTTTCGGTGTCCGCGCGAATGCCGGGAGCGAAGAATTTGGCTGGATGACGGGGAAATTGTATGTGGTCGCATCAATAGACTCCGATTTGCGATGTCTATTTTTCAAATCAAAATTTAGAAGCTTGGCGATTGAACTAAAGTATACATAAGGCTTAGGGCTGCACTTGTACATGGGTTTATACGAACTACGTTTTGCCCTTGAATTGGTCTGTAGGCTCAATCTTGACAGAATTACATGCTTGATCAAGACAAGGAAATTTATCTCGGCATATTCAAGTTCGTACTCCAATCCGCTGCCCTACTGCCAACTCTCTAACAAACCCCTAGAAAATGGGAGGACCCTATACGCCTAGAACGGCCTCCATGGGGGGTCGACCAACAGTTTCCCTCGATGTCCCAATATGCGCCGTCTTCCTCGCCCTGTTCATCGCCGGTGCTGCCTGCCACATGACCCTGTTCCGTCGCAATATGGCTCGAGGCCACAAATTCATTCCATCGGGCGCGACATTCGGCTTCTGCATGTCTCGTATTATCGCAAACATCATGCGCATCGCCTGGGCCTGTCACCCGACAAACGTTCGAATCGCGATCGCCGCACAGATCTTCGTTGCAGCAGGCGTGTTGCTGCTTTTCATCTTGAACTTGCTATACGCACAGCGTATGTTCCGGGCTGTCTATCCACTCCCGGGATGGTCTCGAACCCTATCGTGGGTGTTCAAAGCACTGTATGCTCTGGTCGTGATGACCATCATTATGGTCATCACTTCGGTTATTCAGAGTTCATATACGCTCAACGCAAACACCCTTCGCATCGATCGCGACATCTTGATCTACGGTCAGACCTACTTCTCTATCGTCTCATTCCTACCACTTCCTCTTGTCTTCCTTGTTCTTCTGTCTCCGAACAGAAATCGACTGGAACAGGTTGGCTCTGGTAGCTGGGTCGCCAAAGTTTTCATCGTCGTACTTGTCAGCTCATTGCTCTGTCTCGGCGCATCATTCCGTGCCGCTACCTCTTGGATGACACCTCGCCCTATCACCGACCCAGCATGGTATCACAGCAAGGCCTGCTTCTATATCTTTAACTTCACTATTGATATTGTGGTCGTGGCTATCTTCTTCGTCGGCCGTGTTGACCAGCGATTCTGGGTTCCGAATGGAAGCTCAAAAGTACGCCACTACAGACGGGATGACGGCAGTGAGAAGAATGCGCAGGCTACGCAGAATGGAAGTCCTATCCCGGCTCATGACGATCGGGATGTCGAGAGTAACAGCGGGTGTGAGGGCCTGATCGAAGAAACAAAATAACCCGAGAGAACTTCATTTGAGCTCCCCGGTTGTGCTAATGTGAACATATAGAGCCATATTCCATGTATAATATCATTAATAGTATAGACAATCAATGAAGCCACGGATTTCCTATTGTATAAAACTGATGCTGGTGCTACGTACCTTGGTTATACAGTAACGCTTCATCCCGCGCAACATCATCACCACCTTGATAATCGGGTATTACCGAGGAGAAACCTGGAAATCCGTATAAGGATGACCTAGTATCAGTAAAGAAGGTACGGACAGGATAAATATCATCTTGGATTTAGGTGTGTGGACGAACTCTTTGCCTATAACTGAAGATCTGACGACTGTGTGACTTTAGTATGCTGATATGACGATGTTCAAATCACACCTTCATTCAGATTCCGTAATATCAGACCCTACAATCGACCGGATTATTGTTCTCTTTGAGAAGGTTCAGGCCGCTATTGTGATACCGTGGAGTTTCAACGCGTTACCAATACCTGCACGTGGTTTAGGGAATGCTTGCTCTCAGTAGATGGACTTTATTGTTGGTGGAAGAAACCTCACCCCAAAGACACCATGCAATGGTAAGAGGGCTTGCATTGGCAGGGATGAAAGGGCTGATCTCGGTGGAACCTCTGACATTTATAAAGCTACAGGCGACGATCAATCACCTATTGCCACTTATTAACAAGGGAATAATATTGAACTCTAGCCTTTATGCGTATATCTCAGCTCCTAGTGATACCAACGAGAGAGTCCTGTTAGCTCAAGTAACCAGAGAAAGGTATTAATCCGCAATCCGGAATATACCATAACCACAGGGTGTTCTTGCGGTCTCATGAAACCGGGTCTTGCAAATGGTCTTTTATTTTCATGATTGGTATCAACAAATGGCCAGGCATCGAACCATACAGAATTAAGAAGGCGAGAGCCCTGTTCGATTGCAACCCCATTCTTTCTCCGCCAGTCCAATTGCCTCTCGGGGGACAAAAATGAAATCTATCAAAGGAAATAGTCGGGTGTGCGTCTCGATACCATAGGTTCTCCCGCTCGGGGGCAAGGATCGAATTGTAGGCTGGATTATATGTCAGTAGGATATCTAAGAAATGATACGCTGCAGTAGTACTCACAATGTGTATTTCAAATGCTCGTCAATCTCCATAATGGCGGCCTGGTTGCCGCAGCGGTAACAGTAATTTGGTGCTGTAGTCCGGTTAGTGTTTTGGTCTGTCAAATCTAGCGACGAAATACATACCTGAGAAAATAGTGACCACGTTCCGGTCCTGCGACCAGTTATATCCTTCCATCACCAATTGATGGGCACGTGCCACCAGAGTCAAGCCATTGTTGTGGTTGAAGGCCTCGGAAATGTCCTGTCCGAACGTGTATCCAGCACCTCGGGGAGAGATTCCCCATCCGCATCGGTCATCGGGATCACTCCAGAGCAAGTCACACATGGGACCCTCATGGGGAACTTCTTGGATACGATCAAGCGACCGGATGTTGTCAAGAGTGTCAATGGACGGACTCAGTCCACCGTGAAGACAGAAAATCTGGTTTTCGATGAGAGCAGTGAGGGGAAGGTAGTCGAAAAGGTCGGTGAAGTATTTCCACACGTTGGCATTGCCATATTTGCGGAGACATTCGTCATAGAATCCGTAGACCTGTGTGATCTGTCGGGACTCGTGGTTGCCACGAAGGATGGTAATACGGTTTGGATAACGGATCTTCAGAGAAACCAGAAGGGTCACTGTCTCAACTGAGTAGTAACCACGGTCGACATAGTCACCTATATCAAGAAAAATTAGAAAAAACGTTACCCCACAACGCGTTCATCCGACCGTTGTCCACTCACCCATGAAGAGGTAGTTTGTATCCGGGTTAGGACCGCCAATGCGGAAAAGCTCCATTAAGTCATGGAACTGGCCGTGTATGTCACCGCAGACTGTCACTGGGCATTTCTGTCGGATAGGGTCAGTGGGCTGGACGGGCAAGATAACAACCCGACCGAGAAACAACATACCACTGGCTGCACATTGGATTCCTCCTGCAATACCTCTCTTGCCTGGAAGACACAGAAATGATCAACTTCAGCTCATTCTCATCAATCTGTCAAAACAAGGAACCCACCCGATCGCACAGCCGCCGCACATCTTCCTCCGCTAATTGCTTGCAAGTCATCAAACTCTCGATCCAGCCGTCCAAAGTCGGTATGGATCCGGGGTCGCTTGTTGGCGATAGGTGGTGTGGCTCGGGGGACCGCGCAGTATCGATTTCCATGCTGTTATCCATTGCGTCGGTATGCTCAGCTGGCTGAAAAGGAGGGGCCAGCTGGGGAGGGGCGGTCTCGTGAGAAAACGGAATTCGTGGGTGGGCGCAGGTATCGTGGGGTTCGGAAAATATGTGGGATAATACGCTCCAGATGAAAATTCAATTAAAAGACAACTTCCCAAGATTGATTCAAGGGATAAGGGGATGGGTTGGGAACGCGAGAAGGGGAGAAGAGATGGGAGTTCGGGAAGGTCAAGTTGAGAGTGGTGAACAGAAGCGCCACACTTCAGCCACACACCGCTTTCTCCAGTGCTGTCTACGTAATTAGCAACTACAACAGATGGACTCTTATACAGAACGACAGGGTTTAGATCATTGTTGGTTTGTGTTAAACCTCTAACCAGACAAATAAAATAGGTGTCTAGCAAGATGTTCCACACAATGCACCCAAAAGATACGGAGGAAACATGTCAAAAAGGGTCATTGATACGTGACTATAGCTTCTTGTTATTCTTGTTAATGTTGAAATCAATTTGTGTCATTTAGGAACAAAGAAGCTCCTTCTTTGTTGCAGTTTCACTTGCTCGTCACTCGTTAGATGATGTCTCCGCCAAATCCACCACCAAACCCACCAAAGCCGCCCCCACCTCGTCCGTTATTACCAAAAGGTCCTCGATTACGACCAACAGGTGGCTCACCAGGTCCTACAGGATCATACCTTGCACCGGGGGGTGCACGGGGGTCATATCCACCATTACCAGCTCCTCCTCCACCGAAGAGAGGGTCATCAAAGGTAGGATGCATACCCCCGCCACCTGGGCCAAAGCCAGGGCCCATAGATCCACGCAAAGGGTCATGGGGACCAAGTCCTGCTGGGTAAAGATCTCGTTCTCCGATGTTGTAAGGGGTTCTGCCTCCTCCAAGGCCTCCTGGATATCCAGGAGGATATCCCCGCGGGGGCCGGTTGATCTCAAGCTCATCTTCAAACCCGGGAGGGGCAAAGTCTGGTGGGTTGGAGCGGCGGGGAGCTGCCGCTAGAGGATCATCAAATGGACGTGGACGAGCAGGGTGCGGGAGGGAGCCATCCTGGGGAATATCCGGTTGTCTTTCTTCTTGTGGCCTTGCTCTAGGCGGCTGGCTTGGATCTTCATATCCCTCTTTGTACAAACCGGGCGCAAGTTTCTGAATGACGTTTAGTTTGAACAAACCGACCAAGTCACCTAGGCGAGCCGGTGAGATAAAAATATCTCGCAGGGACGCGGTTATATTCTCTGAGGACGATAGAGGGAGCGCAGAGGCGGAGATGTAGTCTTTAGTGGGGATGTCGAACGAGCTGGTCCGGTCATCGCCCAAGGCCAGTGCAAAAATCACTGCATTATTTCCCAGTCGATTCACTTTGAGTAGATACTGCATCGAAGACTGCGAGTGTGCGTACCGAAAGGCAAACGTATCGTTAGTGTTCCATTCTGCGGGGAGGGATGGTGTATCTGTAGATGTTTCTGAAGGAGTTAGTAAGAGTTCACCGATGCGATCGAAACAGACTTGATATACCTAAGTTGTGATCTTCACCGAGACCGACAAGTCTGAAATCCACTGCAACCATGCATGCATGGCCGATCAGGGCCACAGCCTCATATGGTGTTTTGAGACTCGGCTGTCCATCACTCGCAGGTTGGACAGCTTTCACGGCAAGGTCGAGGATATGATCCTGGCGAAGGGCATCCGCTGGAGCCATTTTTGACGGATTTTGTATATTTCAGATGTGCAATATGGGATGGTGGAGTACCTGGAATATTTTACAAGATGGGGTGATGATGCGGCTCCTTGATGCCCAAAGTGACCTCACTTGGAGCTAGCCTTCTTGGGAAGCTGTGGCGTCGGAACAAAGGTCTCCCGTTCCAGCTATCAGCCCCACTTGCCTTTCTATTTTTGGCCAAGCCGAGGGCTGTATACAAAACATACGAGCACTGTTATGTTGATGAATAGAATACTATGATTGATGGATTCGCCCGAGAAGCTTCCCCTCTATAACATCGACTTTGGGAAATTCTTCATTGCCTGCCGAACTCCCAAGTCTGCCAGAATCTCCTCAGTTCCACCCAGGATGGCATCGAACTTGTATGTGCGATGGAACATCTCAATGACCTTGCCCATTCCGGACTGAGTGATACCACGCCCACCAAAGATATTCGTAGCGAGGCTAGCAATTTCGCCTGCAGCTTGGGTACAGTGTGACTTGAGCAGTCCGATAGGTCCGCCTAAATGCTTCGCTTGCTCGGCGTATGTCATGTTGCACATCTGGTAGGCGATGGATTCGAGCCATGCCTGGTTAGACTCGGCGAGGGAGATCATGCGGGCGATCCTGTTGGATGTTAGAAAATAAATACGGGCGGAATGATCGAAGAGACTCACTTCTGACGAATAACTGGTTGTTCGACCAATTTCTTGCCAAAGACGATGCGCTGGTTGGACCATTTCAATGTCTCTTCCACAACCACCATAGACATGCGAACCACGGCAGCCACCATCATAAAGCGCTCGTGGTTGAAGTTGCTCATGATAACAGCGAAACCCTTGTGTTCCTCGCCCAGAAGATTCTGAACCGGAACCTTGACATTCTCAAACTGCACGAAAGCAGTGGCAGCTGCAGTCGAGTATGAGGTCTTGATTTGCTTGGTCTCAACACCCTCGCCGCGAGGGATCAAAAGCACCGAGAATCCCTTCTCGGTACGGCAGCCAGTGACAAAGTAGTCGGCGAACATGCCGTTTGTGATCCATTTCCTGAATATTGTTAGCGCAAATCTCTTTAATTCAACCAGCAAATGTGATCCGACTCACTTTGTGCCGTTGACGATATAATGTTTCCCATCAGGAGTCTTCTCTGCGGTAGTCTTCAGACCTGCCACGTCGCTACCAGCAAAGGCCTCTGTGATAGCCAAACACATCTTCTTCTGACCCGACAAGACCTCGGTATTGAGGCGCTCCTTGAGTGCAGGATCGTGCAACCATTGCTGGACAGCTGTCAAACTAATAGCCATACCGGCCATATTGCCATCCTGGAATCCTCTGGCATTGGCACGGACCAACTCCTGTACTACAATCATGTCGTGGAGATAATCAAACTCCTTTCCATCCACAACTCCACCGAGCAAGGTGCGGTTATGCAGGTGCTTTCCGGGGCCCAATCGCATAGCCAGAATGTTCGTTTCGGCCATGCGGTTGATTAATTCTTGGCTGATATAGGTCCCATCCTGCTCCTTCTCTTGCGCTTCGGGCGTCACATATTTATCCGTGAACTCCCGGACGGCCTTTTGCAGGCGTCGGTGGCTCTCCTTGTAGTAAGGGGACTTGAACTGGGGTCGCAGCCATAGGGGCTCGGCGTAGGGCACGGGGCTCAAAGCTCCAGGGACGGGCACGATAACCTCGGGTTTTTCGCCTTCGATGACACCAATGCAAAGCTGGTCACGGTATTTCTCCAGAACTTCCTGGCGGTGCAAGTTGTAGAACTCAGATGTTGCGTCCTGGCCAGCAACCTGAGCAAGCACGACGGCACCGCCGGGGTGGGCGTCGACAAAATCGGTCAAATCATAGACTTGGTGGTCGATGATGCACCAGAGGGAATCCTCAGTGTTATGCTTCGCGACCTCCGCGCGTGTGAGAATTTCCGGCATATTTGAGTATGAAAAAAAAGAGGAGAAGAACGAGGGTGCTACTAGTAAATACCCCAGATTATAAGTCGCCAATCATGCTGCCGCTGATTCAAATTGAGCCGAGGCCCGAAAACACTGATGTCAGCATCGTGTTTCACTCTTCTTGGCTGCCCCAACAAAGACCTCGGACCTCACAGCTTCCGATTACTGATCAACTGTACGATATATAATGTTTTCGTCAAAGGCTGTTGAATTATAATCACCAAAGGCGTTTATAGGCTCTCGCGCCCGTAGACGTATGGTCGGCACGTTTCAACTTCAGCTTCTAGCCTGGAGCAACACCAAACATGCGATGTACATATGCTAGTAGTAGTATCGCAGAAGAAAATCAAAGGAAGTTGAGAGGTTTATTTCTATACCAGAGGCTATCATGATGGTTGGATCATTCAGACCAACCTTGTTTCTAAAATATATTTGCTATCGAGAAAGCGATTGGGATAACTGGAGTGTGTTCACCTGCCTGTACATCTTGACATATCGTATGTTTACACAACATCAATAGTCCCCCTTCGAACGACCAGCCTTGATATCTTTCAGTGCCTCCTCAATTAACCACGCACAAACAGGCTGCGCATCGCTTCCGACACGCCAACTGCCCAGCGTAACGCCGTGCTGTTCAAGCACTTCGCTTGCGCGATCCCAACGACGTCGCCAAAGCTCCTCGCGTTTATTTGGAAGGGGCGCAGCCGGCATACCCGACTCGCCATTGGACCCTGCTCTCCCAAGTGACTGGCTAGATGAAGACCCCGAGAAGTTGAGTCGGTCGCTGGCATATTGAAACCCTTGGTATGCAGCCTGGGCGGCTGCCGCTGGGTATGATTGAATGCCACCTGAAGTTCGACTCGGCGTAGATGATGGACTGGAGGAATCTGAACTGGGTGTTGAAGACCCAGGGTTTGTGCGACGCGGAGGGGGGCAAGGCGGTGGTGGCCTGGCGCGTGTAGCTTGCGATTGATCCCGAGAGCCTGCAGACCCATCATCGAGTGCTTTGGGCCAAGAAGAAGGAACTTCATTCGTTGATGTCCCAGCGCTACTCTGAGAGGTTGAAGGCGAGGGATCCACATCAATCAATGAATGTGTCTTGGGAACGGCACGTCTGGGCGGCACAGGCGGGACTGGTCTGCGCTTGGGGGGCTCCGGGGCTGGCGCCGGTTTGGAGTCTTTTTCCGGTGCATCGGAATGTGATGCAACGTTGCGCAGGGAGGATGGCCTGGAGCTCTTCGCCAAATCAGCCGGCGTAGAAACCATGCGCAGTGCAGATGGTTTGATTGGCTTCGCTGGGCGTGGCCGTGAAGTGGCGGGGTGTGTAAGCCCCGCTGGAGGTGGCTGATCGCCTATGATGAGGTCTGTGAGATCAATCAGGTCCTCAAGGTCAAGATTGCTTGGGTCTGGATCACGGAGCCCTACGGGGACTGCAGAATCAACGGCAGCCGTACCACCTCGAGGTGGCAGCGCCGGTCTGTTGATAGCAGCATCCGAGTGGTCCACTACATTTGGTGAACTGCGACTGCGTTTAGACTGGTCAAGATGGCCGACGGATTTGTCGAAGAACTTCTGGGGTTCTGAGGTCGTAACATCACGAATGAAAATGCCTAGGATACGGCCAGGATTTGCCAAAACAATCTCAGTGTAAACTTCCAGATCAGCCTCACCACTGTCGCCGACAAGTATGAATCTCCGTTCTGGGAAGTCGCGGAGGATTTGTTCTAATGACCCCCGTTTCCTCTCTGCAGTGGGCTCAAAGATTCCTTGAAGCATGCCCGAGTACTGTTTGAGATGGAAGGAGCCCGGAGGCAATCCCACCATCTTGAAGTACCGCTCAAGGAGGGGATACAACTGCCAGGGAGCATTTGACACATAGTGAATTTTCACACCCTGGTCGGCCAGTTTGCAGTACCAGTCGCTGACTCCTTCGACTGTAAGTTCATCCAATTCACGGACAAAGGTATTTCGGAACATCTCCTTCGCTCCACTCGCAATGGCTGAGTGCTTGACTGTATCATCGATGTCACTGATCAAACTGATTCCAATTGGATCAATGATCTCAATCGGCCTTACGACGGACAGGTCTTCAGATGCCAGCACCCGAGTATGAGTTGGAACAAATGGCAGTGTAGCACGCAGAGTAAAATGACCTGATTCATCCGTCAGGATATTTCGAGACTTGCTCTCATCGTCGTTAAAGAAGAACACTGTCACTGGCATGCTCCCAACAGGATTCGTCAAGAATGGACGAAGTCTTTCCATCAGATGGGCATTCGCCATAGATATTTGGTCTTTACTCAATGGTGCAGCATGATGTTGTGTTTGGTCCGCATGCGAGCCTTTCCAAGCCGGGTCTGCTTCCCTCTCAGCCTTGGCGACTAATGTTTGCATCTCCTTGTCGATGTATTCATCATCTCCCTTCCCAGATACCTTGTCATCACTTTCATCATTTGTACTTCCACTTGGTGCAGGGATCCCGCTCAGCTTCCTGGCCAGGGCAATCATCAACCGGTGCTTTCGGCTCATCGGCCCCCGGCCAGGAGAGTAAATCCAGCCACGCACGTCGACGGCCACAAGTGCATCTTCAGTCTCCGTTGCATCCCAAGTAGGTGTGGCGGGTTCATCGTCCTCATGGGCTACACCCCTGTATTCATCGATAGTTTCTGACCATGACCCCCGTCGCGAAGGTGCGCTGGTACTAGCGTTCTTGTTCTCTGTCAATTTCCTAGCATAACTGGGAAAGACCACCATCTCCTCGTCGCCTGACCGTGCAATTTCCGCATCCGGGAAGGCTCCAGGGGTGTTGTAGTAGTCCTCATCGTGTTCATTCCTCTGCCCCGACCATTGTGAGGTATAGGCCTGGCGTAGCTCATTAGCCGCTTTGAAATAGTCGTAAACCTTCTTTCGGCGGCTACCAGGGGCAGAAGCAGCACCATCACCATTGCCTGGCCCCCATGTTGATGAAAGTCCAGACTGCGCCATTGGGTCTATCGTTGTGTCTTTCGGTCTGTGGCGGGATTCTCGGCTCGACCTCGGGTACCTTGCAGCTGGACTGTTACCGGCTGCAGTAGATCTCCACGGCCTTGATTGTCGCCGGGTTCCGAGAAGATAATTCACAAGGCGTCCGCCAAGTCTGCTATCGCGTGTAGCGAGTCGCGCTTGTCGCCGGACGATCGCTCGGTAGACCCGCGATTGGGCTCGGTGTCGAAGCGCGGGGAGGGTTTCGTGCCGGATGCCCCAAAGACGGGATTGTGCTCGCCTAGTTGCGTGTGCGCCAACTATCAGACGAAGTATATTTGATAGCCTACTGGGTCGAGGCTCGCGAGGAAAGGAAGGGAAAAGGGTGGTAGGCGGGCGTCTGAAGAGAGAGGGCCTCGACCGAAGGATTGGCCAACGAAAAGGTGATTTAGGCGCCAGGGTCTCGTGTATGATTTAACAGGGTAAATAGTCTGAAAGGAAAAAAAAAACCAAGTTCCAGTACAACAGCTATGTAGAAAGTTGATTCGCTGCGGGGAAAGAGATCGGCCATGACGATGATTCCTCACCGCGTTGCAACCGAAGATTCTGGGAAATATTATATTTGTATTCAATTTTGGTTTTTTTTTTTAAATCGTTTACTTAACGTAGGTATAATCCAAACTTATTCTATCCATATCTATAACGTGTTGGTTAATAGAGTCCATGCCTGTATGTGAAGCCCATATGGAAGCAGAAGCAGATCCCAAAATGCATTGATAGATTGTGGGTTTGATCTATAATCTAGCTACAAAGCCTCTAGCTATTATATATCTGGTCATTAATATACAAGAACTACCCAATTATGAACTGTCCTCGGTGTAGTTCACTTTCTTCGCACGTGAACTTCGTCGAGAAAGTGATGTCGAAGCCGCAGCATTGTCCACTGATACTGAAATCTCTTGGGACTTTTTAGTCACTTCTGTCTCTTCAGACTCTGGGGTAGACTCAATATCCGAAGCCTTGCGCTTGTTGCGAGCCTTGGTCGACGGACGCGTCCGCCTGGCCGGCTTTTTTACTGGTGTTTCTATCTTGTTGGGTATATCTAGAGGAGCATCGTCTGCGATAGACTCAATCTTACCCTTTTTGGATGCATTTTTCTTGGGACTTGGTGTAGCTTTGGGCTTCACGATTTTCTTTGCCGGTCGGAGCCATTCTTCCATGCCTTCGGGCCAGTAGACTCTGCCATCTGGTCCACCCATTCCGACTTCTTCGTTGGGGATGGTGCGAGGCGGTGGTATTAAGCCTTCTAGGTCCACAAAGGCCCCATTCTTCTTGGACTTTTTGGGTGGTTTGTGTGGTTGGTTTTCGTCAAGCCGCATGAACGGTATTATGTCGTTCACGAGATTGTAGCCGGGGAGTTTGAAGTTTCTCATCAACTCGAACACGGCTTGTTCTTTGTCCTTGGCCTCAATCATCAGGTCCATGGTGGGTGGACAAGGGGGCAAAGTGGTAACGCGGTCACTGTGTTTGCGCCGTTGGCGTGGTGTGATGGCGGCCGCAGTTTGTTCGGAATAATGCATCTTCTGGGTGATGTTCTTCCGAGACCATGTTGCTGATATACGCTCGTAGAGAGGTATGATGTCCTCGGTGCCTTCACGGACCTCATTGGCGTCAAAAATGATATTATGGTGGTGGTAATCGAGGACAAGAGGGACATTGAGCTCCTCGCAAATAGGTAGCAGATCGTGAACGGACCAGCTAACGTCGTCATTCTCCAGAACCAGGCGATTTTTGATGTCCTGCGATAATCTGGCATAGTTCTCTCGGAACCGGTCCAGTGTAGCAGCCTTATCACCAAACACACCACCCATGTGCAGAATCATGACCGCATCCCGGTCCTGCTGTGGGGGGAGTTTGAGTAGCTGGAGCATCTCCGAGTGATACTCGAGATCGCGAGTAGAATTCTCGACGACTTCCTCTCTCGGCGATCCGAATTGAGTGAATTGGCCAGGGTGAACCGACACCCGGTGTCCGAGTTCTGCAATCACACGTCCTACATCTGCTAGCGCCTCCGAGGCGAACGGCGCCAACTTATAGCCATATTCCTTGTGACTAGCAAATGGGAACATCTCACTGCTGAGTCGCATGAACTTAATGCCATATCTGTCGTTCCAACGAATGATCTTGGCCAAATCCCGTACATTCGCCAAGGCTAGCCCCTCGACGAAGGTTTGTCCGCGTGCAACATCAGATGGCTGGTTGCGGTCTGGACGATTCTTGATCGTGTGTGCGGGTTGGTCGGGATCTTGGAGCGGGTGTCGATTTTCGAGTATAGAGGCGATTCGACAGGTCCGAGAACAGAAGACGGAGGGTGTTGAATATCGAAGGTATGTATTTAGACATGCCTGTTAAAGTCAGAAACCAGGATCATCGGCGGAGGTTATGATGTGCGCAGCACGGCGCAACTCACATATCCTAATCTGCCTTTCCATGGAAGTGGCAGGTAGCTGCTGTTCACCGGAGGTGGTCGGCCGAGCGCCTCTTTTAGCTCTTCCGCATCAACGGGGATGTCTTCATCTGATTCTGGATCCAATGAAGCCTCTGCCTGGCCAGCAGGTAAGGGTACATCTCCATTGAGGATATCCACCGGCTTCGCCTCCGGCCCAGGCGTCTCAGTCGCCCTGACCATACCTTCTGGATCCAGATATCTTGGTTTTGGGCCAAGATCCTGCGAATATACACGTGATGTGGATTTCAATGTGTTTAGGGAATGCGCAACTCTTTTAGGCGAGAAGGACGAGACGCGCAGAGCGTAATGAGCGGCATGATGGGTATTTGGGGCGAACGATCTGCTTCTCGCCACAGAAACGGATTCAGGGATTCTCAATGACGTATGATGACCCTGTTGACTAGCTTCCAAGGAATGGACATGGATAGACAGACCTTGCAGCAGACGAGCAAAAGACCGACACATTCAGCGGACTTTTGGAGGTCAATGAGTGTTGGGGGGTTGGAGTTCGTAAGGGCGGGATGTTCCACGCGCTAATCAACGCGACTCACCGTTCACCGCGACAACCTCCAGGGCTATCGTGTCATCAACGTCATCAACCTCCCCAAAATCAGAATGAATTTGATATATAATGTTGCGATCTCTCTAGGGCTTGCTAGAAATTCAATCAAGGTCTATAGCATCCAATAGTGCAAAATCCTTTTTTTGAGCCCATTGATTCGAGGTCAAAGATAATGAATTTGGACATGAAGGAGCCCGCATAGTCCGCCGCATCGGTCCCGAAGTGCAAGGTCTGAAAGCCGGTGACCGCATCGTAGTCGTTGGGAGCTGCTTATTTTTTGATGCAATCAGTTCTCTCCGAGAACTTGCGCGAGAAAATTCCAGCTGGCTTAATCTTCAATTATACGGAGAGCATGCCTTGCGTGTTCAGTACACCGATATACTCCATCTTCGATATTGGAATTCTGGAAAAGGGACAGATTTGTTTCCCCTCAATACTCTGGCTTCTTGAGTCGACTTTGGACGTATTTCATAGTCCATGCTTATACACAGTGCCAGCGGTGGAGTTGGCATTGCGAACATTCAGCTTGCTCAACTGGTTTGCTGGTATCTATGCAACTGTCGGTAACGAGGAGAAGGTCAGATATCTCATGGACACGTTTAGCCTTCCTCGGAACAGGATCCTCTACTCCCGTAGTTCCTCGTTCGTCGAGGACATCATGCAGGAGACAAATGACCAGAGTTTCGATTTGATATTGAACTCTTTGTCTGGTGAACTACTACATGCTACATGGAAGTGTATTGCACCGTTTGGAAAGATGGTCGAGATTGGCAAGCGAGACTTCATTGGCTCTGGAAAGCTTGATATGACTCCTTTCTTAGACAACCGTAGCTAATGTTGTGTCGACTTGGATCAAATTTGTTCCAGCAAGCCGACCTTGCAAGAAAGTATGTATCATCAATTACGAAGAGGTTTCCAATGTATAGCATTTGGAAACTGACATATCATGCAGGTTGAAGAAAATTGCGGTCCTAGTCAAGGAACGCTACATACATCCTATCAGACCCATCAATATCTTTAGTTCCGATGGTATCCACGACGCCTTCTATCACATGCAGCAAGGCATCCATTCAGGAAAAATCATCGTGTCAATGTGTGATAATTCAGGCCAAGTCAACGCAGTAGACAATACCCAACAAAAAAAAACGCCCGTCCAACTCAACAGCTCTGGTGCGTACCTCCTCGTAGGTGGCTTTGGAGGTCTGGGTTGGGCGGTATCTACGTGGATGGTCCAACATGGAGCTCGGCACCTCATATATCTTTCCCCTCATATATCTTTCCTGCCCCGCGAGTTCAAGCGAAATCCACCGAGAGTTTACCCAAGAAATTACCAGTATAAGATCTCGCGCCGTCTTTGTTCGGGGTAGCGTTACGAACCTCGAGGATGTGAAAAACGCAATCACACTGGCTCAAGGCCTGCTTCGGGGTTTGCGCTATCGATATCGGTCTCGTCAAGGGGGTGGGCTATGCTACCGAGCAGGAGGGAATTGTACAACAGCTCAAAGATTCTGGTGGCCTAGTCGATATGTCTCTGACGGCTCGATCCTGAGTGCGGTAGAGGCAGCGATGAGATCTATGTCAAGTACGCCGGGACCCGAAGCAAGCCACTTCGGCTTTGGAATTTGCCCCAATATATCTGACCGATCAAAGAAAGCGTTGGTATGGAAGAACGACATCCGAATGTCTGTATTTCATAACACTAGAGCAGCCGGTACCATCTTGGACTATACTTCTGGCAGATGCCTATATGCCTTTATCACACGGGCTAAAGGCGATGCCGCTTTGCTCAGCCAGTTTGATTGTGCTCAAATGCTCGCTGTGGAAATAGGAAAGATGGGTTTCAGCTTCTTGCTAAAGCCGGAAGAAGACCTGGTAACATCTTGCTACTTTGCACGCTTTATGCTTCCTTAAAATCCAAGAATACTGTCCCTTTGAAGTGACAGCTGGGGAATATGAACTGTTTAGACATGGTGTGATGCCTCTTGCTGGGGAAGTCGGAATATTGTTGCCCAAATTCCCAACGATACAGCCAGCATGGCGAGCAAGATTGGCTGCAGCACTGTCACTCCCTTCGCCTGAGCAATAGCGCCAATCATGAATGGGAAAACAGCACCGCCACCCATAGAAAAGGCAGCCGCAAATCCAATAGCAGCAACATGAAGATTCTTCGGTAGCAATCGTGTCGCCACAATCACAACTCCCGGGAAGATAGTCCCCATAAAGAATCCAACAAATGCAACCGCAACGGCGGACACGATAAACTCAGGCACGAGCCAGAAGATGAGCTCAAGAGCAATTGCAAGCAAGAGGTATATAGCAATGGACAGCTTCTCTCCAATTCGTGGTGACACAAACCCTAGCACGAATCGACCGACTGTGATGCCGAGCCAGAAGCCTGTCTCTGCCATTCCGGATTCAAATGGGTCGCCATGTCGGACGTTCGTCATAAAGACAACAATCCAACCACCGATTGCTACCTCAATTCCGCCATAGAGAAAGAGGAAGACAGCGCATATCCAGGTGACCTTATATGTGAGGGCAAGGCGTGTTTGAGAGAATGCCCCTCCTCTGCCTGGGAAACTGGGGTTCTCTTGTTGATATTTGCTCCCAGTTTCATCCCAGAAGGCGCCGGTGGAGTAAACTAGTGCGATAGCAGCCGCTCCGGTCTGTATTTCATTATTAGCTTGTCGATATCCAGTGCTTTCGGGGTGAGAGAGAGAGATGGAGATACCATTAGGTAGTAATAAGAGTACCATTCCCACCCTGCTTTGATAATTAGAGTTGTGGCAACGAGAGGGCTTATTGTGGCTCCGACGCCATAGAATCCATGGAAGAAACCGAGCACTTCGTGCGAGTTCGCCATGTTTCCGATCCATACATTCCATGCTGCATTGTGAAATCCGCTCCCTAATCCAACCAGAATATACATGATCACTAGGACTGGAAAGGGCGGGTGTGTAGATATGACTGCAAACGCAATCACATGGCAAATCGGAGCGATTATTGTGATTCCTCGCCTGCCGAGAGTCTGATGAACTAAATTGCTCAAGATAGCGGATACGGTATATCCCACAAACGGCGAAAGGAACACCAATGAAACGGCCGTATAGCTTTTTTGATAGTAAATCTCCAACTGAAAACGTTCAAATAAGATGGTCAGTGATCTTATACAACGGGGATCAGGTCAACGCTGAGTTGGTAACACAAACATAGGGAATAATTGCTCCATATGCAGCATCATTGGACCCCATCACAAATGCACACCAAAATGTGGCTGTCACCTTCCATATTGTTGTTTTCGACTCGTTCCATCTTGGTGCGACGTTTACTGCATGCAACGGTGGTGTTTCATCGGTCTCCGAGGACGTAGCTTCAGGCGTATATTGGTATCTGGTAGGTTCCCCTGGTGTTGGTGGCCAAGATGACCGGCTCGAGCTTGCACTTCTGGTACTCATTTTCTAGAGTTGAGAAGTCGAAAGTGAGATCTTGGGGGGTGTAAGATTGTGGGGGTATATCAGACATGTCATGCGGGGGAAACCCAACAACTGGTGAATGTAACCATGTCCTATCCTATATGTATGGATTTATCTTCGCGCGTTTATCGTGTTTTACTAGTTAGAGAGTTTCATAGTACTGAATTTGGTCATACTTTTCATACAGTCAGATTTCTGTCATATAGAAATATAGTTAAATGCCGGTCACGTGGTGGTATTCTCCGAGGCCATCAGCGCGTGTTTTCCCGATGGTCTTCAAGTCTTCAAACCCTTTCCATCTTGGGAAAAAGCCACGTCACAGAAGCGATTTCTAGTTGAAATGGCTAAAACTTCGCTATTCCCAATAAAGACTAATCTAAAGGAGTTCCTTCAGCCGCTCCGGGTCGAACTTGAGACCTTGTATGAGTTATCTTGTCGGCTATCGTCGTCATATAAAAAGTTAGCCGCGGAATCTACAGAACACTTTATTCCATCAGCGCTTACCCGTCTTCCGACGGGCCATGAAACCGGACGATATCTTGGCGTCTATTTCGGTCTGTCATACCTTCGGGTGGCCTTCATCGACCTCTTAGGAGATCAACATGTCGAAGGACATCCACGGGTGCGGCGCACATTAGAGAAGGCATGGCCTATTGAAGATCATATACGAAAGGATCATTGTGTTGACCTCTTTACATGGATTGGAGACTGTATTGCCGAGGTGGTGGCAGACAGACTGGCCAACCCAAGTGAAGAGCGGATTGATCAAATAACGACAGGCATTTCCTTCTGTCTTCCTATAAAGTATAGTTATCCCACCGGCTTCTGTTATATGTTTCTCTGGCTAATCTTAGTGTAGACAAGATTCTCTTGATGAGGCTATCTTGATGCCAACAGGGAAAGGCTTCTCTCTAAGCTCAGACCTCAATCTCCGCCAAGCCTTGCTGAATGGATATGAACGTCACACATATTCAACTCATGGAGATGAAATGAACATGCCTGCTAAACGCCGCAGGCTATTTTCTCTTCCTAAACTGAAAATCGCTGTCATGATCAACGACACGACAGCGACACTTGCTTCATTGGCGTACTCTATCCCTTCTTTGCCGAACACTCGTGTTGTTATGGGTCTGATCGTGGGCGCGGGATGCAACACGACTGTTCCCATGAAACTTGCCAATTTGCATGAATCCAAAACTAAAAGCATTCTTGAAAAACACCCCGATGCACAGGAAACACTCATCTCGACTGAATGGACTCTCTCCACGGCGGCGGCTTCTTTCGATGAGCTTGGCATTCGAACAAAATGGGACCTTGGACTGGATAAAAACTGCAAAAGACCTGGTTTCCAGCCAATGGAATATATGATCGGCGGTGGATACACTGGCGAGCTCGTCCGCATCGTCTGTTATGATTGGTTTCACGGAGTTTTGGGAATAGAACGCTCTAAGTTACCGCTGAAGTTGGTTGAAGAGTATTCTCTTTCAACAGAATACCTTTCTCTGGTTGTTGCTTCTTCTCTGTCTGATGAGCGCTTAGCAAGCGCGTTGTCCAAATCACTTCAACCATCTCCTGAGAGTGATTGGATCTGGTCGCCTGAATACGCCCGTGATATTCGGGCCATTGCCTCGGCTGTGCAGGATCGAGCGGCTTCGTTGGTGGCATCTGCGGTTGTTGGTCTCCTAGGTTGCACCAATGAAGTCCAATTGTGCAACACGGCGACCAAGTGTACAAATGAAGAACAAGTCAAATCGGAAGCTGAAGTTACTGGACAAACGGACTCCTCGTCATCAACGCCAGGTTGGAATAGCGGGCCCGAGGAGCTCGCCGTCGCCTTCTCGGGTGGAGTGATTCAACACTATCCTCACTATAAAGAAACTGTACAGAGATATATTGATCGACTGCTACTACGAGCTGGTCCTCAGGCAGGCGGAAAGAGCGTCTTCTTGCGGGAAGCCAGTGATGGTGGGATCATTGGAACTGGTGTCCTTGCGGGAACGACGTCAGGGGAAATCGGGGAAATCAAGGCCACTAACAATTAGTTTCCATCAATTTCCCTCAATTGATAGCCACATAGATACATTATAGTATATGTCTCCCATTTTCTCCCTCCGCGCTTCAGAAAAAGCCCCACTTCGGCAGGAACCCCGACATCGGTGCATTTCCATGCCGTTCTGTCAACTGAATAATTTATTAATGGCATTTGAATCGAAGATCTACCTCAATAATTGTGTAGAGCCCGCTATCTACTTTTCGTTGGTGAGCCTCAAGTCTTGTGTCAATATATTAACCCTATTTCCGCCAAGAACACCGAAGACTTTTCCTTTTTTTTTTTTTTTTCCATTACGCCGAAGACAATGAAGTTCTTCGATGTGAGCAAAAACATTCTATTGTTTCTATAAATCCGACTAACTAACACTGCAGACAGGCCGCCGTCACATTCACTGCAGACCAGTTCCAAGGTATCTACCGAGGAAAGCAATATCACGAACCAGATTTTGCGGAAGTCCTGAAAAGAGCCCAAGACCATGGATGTGAAAAGATCATGCTCACCACCATGACTCTGGAAGGTGCAAGACAGAACCTGCAGGTAGTGAGGAAGTTCCCTGCGATGTGCAAAATGACCTTGGGCGTGCATCCGTACCATGTCGCTGAGATCTATGAGCCAAATTCACAATATCTCAACGAGCTGCGCGAGCTGGGTGAAACGCTTCTAGCCGAAAACCCCTCACCCCTAGCTGCGTTTGGGGAAATCGGGTTGGACTACGAGTACCTGGATCGAGCTGACAAGGAAACGCAGCAACGAGCGTTCCGCGAGCAATTAGAGCTTGCCGTGCAATTTCAACTACCGCTGTTCTTGCACGCTCGTGAATCCACCGAAGACTTTATCTCCATCATCAAGCCATTTCTGCCAAGGCTGCCGCGTGGCGGGTTGGTGCATTCTTTTGCGGGCACGAAGGGGGAGATGCTCCAGCTCGTGGAACTGGGTCTGGAAATTAGTGTCAACGGTATCTCATTCCGGACAGATGAGCAGTTGGAAATGGTTAGGCATATTCCATTGGAGAAGCTACAACTGGAGACTGATGCGCCGTGGTGCGAGGTCTTGTCTAATGATCCCAAAATCGCGGCTTACCTGGAAACTGCGAAGCCTTTGCCGTCTAGTCGGAAACACAACAAGTTTATACTGGGGCAAATGGTCAAGACACGCAATGAAAGTTGTTTTATGGAGAGTGTGGGATTAGTTGTGGCGGGTTTGAAGGGTGTTGCTGTGGAAGAAGTGGCTGAGGCTGCTTGGAATAATAGTAGTCGAATGTTTTGGGTGTGAATATGTCTTTGAGCCAATGTATATAATAGAATCAGGTAACAGGACTTCACAAATTTTTCTGGTTTAGCTAGTCTAATTGGATCATTGAAACCCTCGATGTTTGAAGCTCATTTGTTTAATTAGCAGAGCAATACACAGTACGTAGGTCAAACAAAGTGCACGGTGTATATCCCACGGCAACAAGCTTTTACCCACATGAACATAATCGAAAGAAATCTTGATAGATCGACGTGGATGTAAACAAAGCTCTTTTAGGTATCATGATTGGTGCCCTGGATAAACATCCAGGGGGAGGAAGACAGGGGCGAACCCTTAGGGCTTGCCCAGGGCTTCGTGCTGATCCCGGAACTTCGTTGCCGGACAGTTGACATTTTATAAATAATTGTGATGCGTCCTTTTGCGTTTAGTTTTTCTATGAGATCATCTCAAGATTCTTGAAGGTTAGCCTACGGATATTAATATGAATACAAGTTGGAATGAAGGAAGTCATGCATGGTGCCTTCTTTTTCACATTCGATCCCTCATCGCGAGGTCTACAATCCAATTGCCCCTCGAGTCACTAGTTGCCACTTAATTGCTTTGCTGGCGATCTGGGTATCTAAGCGTCCAAACAAGGTCGATATGGACCATGACTTTTTTGATGTATGGATCGAGATGTAATGGAGATCTAGTCATTCTGTTAGATTGTCGATGATTTGTCTTTTACGTGAGAATAAGCACGTATGATACTGGGGATAGAGGTTACCGGAGTGGAGGGCTGCGGTTTGTTGACATTCTTGACGTTGCGAAGGCGATCGCCAAACCATCGGCGCATGGGCAAAAGCCGCGACATGTTGGAATTGGCCATTCCTCTCTAGAGTTATGTGGAATGCTGTTGACTACTGGCCATGTATTTATACTAATTATCGTCGGCAACCCTGCACTTTCTTTTCTCAAGCCTCTATACTCATATAATTGATTATATCGACCCTGGTGGTCAAGTCCTTATCAAAAGTCTATATACCAAAAGTTCTCCAAGACGTTGTAAGTGAAGTGCTGGCGATTGCTTCGTTCTTGCCTCCGATGTTGCCATTGTCAGGGTTGAGACTAACAAGACTAGAGAGAAAATCACAATGAAGGGCACATTGATCCTCTCTGGCCTTTTGGCTACTGCTGTCTCGGCTCACATGCAGCTTAGCAAGCCGTACCCTATCCGCAGTCCGCTCAACAAGGATGGCAAGGGCGAGAAGGATTATTCTTACACCAACCCGCTCTCCACCTCCGGTAGCGACTACCCATGCAAAGGATATGCCAAGGATAAATTTGAGGCCGTCGCTACATGGCAACCAGGCTCCACCCAAGAGATGACTTTGGAAGGTAGTGCCGTCCATGGTGGTGGCTCATGTCAGCTCGCCCTGACCTATGACCAGGGTGAGACCTTCAAGGTCATTGAGTCTATTGAGGGTGACTGCCCTATCGACAAGAAGTACGAATTCCAGGTCCCCTCAGACGCACCAAGCGGCGATGCCCTCTTCGCTTGGACCTGGTTCAACAAGGTCGGCAATCGCGAGATGTACATGAATTGTGCTATGGTCACCATCGGTGGCTCCGCCAAGCGTAGTGCTACCGTCGAGTCCGAGGGTAACAACGACCAGACCGAGAACGCCAAGAGCGACTTCAGTAGCCTCCCCGAGCTCTTCGTTGCCAACGTGAACCAGGCTGGCAAGTGTGTCACCATCGAGGGCCAGGCCGTTCACTTCCCCAAGCCCGGTCCTAAGGTTATTGGCAAGGCCGATGGTCCTGGATACAAGTGCTCCGATCATGCTCCCTTCCTCGGTAGCTCCAAGTCTGAGAAGCAGCCTGCGGTCAGCGATACCACTAAGTCAAATAAAAAGCCTGCGACTACCCTCACCACCGCCACCAAGTCCGAGAAGAATCCCACTGCCGAGAGCACCACCGCCACCAAGTCCAAGAACAAGCCCACTGCCGACAGCACCACCACCCCCACCAAGTCTGAGAAGAATGCAGTTGCCGACATTATCGCTACCCATATAGCCAACGCTGTCTCGAAGATCACCAAAGCCTTTGGAACTGCGGCCGCTGATGATGACAGCCGTCTGACCTCCACCAAACACTCAGCCAACAACCAGTTCAGCGACTACGTCGGCCAATGGTCTTGCCACTCTGGGGACATCATCTGCGCCCCGGATGGACTTTCCTTTGCCTTATGCACCAACGGGAAGCCCATCTTCATGGGCTCCGTTGCTGCTGGTACTATTTGCCGGTCGGGCGTTATCACTGCTCGCCAGTAAAGGCGTCTGTTCTTTTCTTCTTTTCTACTTTTCATTTCTCTTGCGGATACTTTATCCATACATCCCAGTGAATATTTCAAATTAACAGCAGTCCGTAGACTGCATCAGTCGAGTGATCTTCACTCGCTATGGCCGGTTTTTGGATTCTTGCAGTTGGTGTTTTCTTTCAGCCCGGCTTTTGGGCGCTCTGTATTGTTTTTCTGATCCTTTACCCATGACCTGTTAAGCGATGAGCCTGTTGACGTCCCTATGCTGACAATGCTGTCATACAGACTATCTAATGATTTCGCGTGTTAATTTAAATTCTGGACCTTCATTATGCTATGCATCCGCTTTTTCCAACGATTCGTGGGGAATGATATAGTTTCCTCATGCACTGTATGCGCGTGAAATATCAAAAATGCCAAAATACTCTATAAGTGGCCGTCTGTTCGTCCTTTATTCTCCTAGGGCATCGCCATTTCCCTGTGTACTTCGGCTACACTTGGTGCTAAGAAGTATGTGTCTAGACCTGGCACTAACCCGCGGGTAACCCTCATAACCCTGCACCTAGTCGGGTCAGGTTCCAAGATCCCGACCCCATGAGGGTAACTCGCGGGTAAACCTGAGATGCAAACGATCGGGCAAAGTCAGAGAGTGATAGTTGCCATTTGATCACCTGACCATCCATGTCATCACTTACAGTTGTGTTCATTTGTGTCCACTCTTTCTTCCGCCAAACTGAACACCCATCGCTGCCAGGCCATCGTCAAGCATAACCGCGACCACGTACGAAGCAATTTACTCCTATGACGGATCCAGTTGTTATTGCTAAAGTCGCACGGTTCGAGTGGGAGCTACCTCGTTTATCGCTCTAGACCCTCGTGTATAAAAGGTTAGAAAACACAGGTCTGGCCCCACGTTTCATTGGCCCTGTCCACGAGCATGGCCGTGTAATCGGGTTCATACTAGAAAAGCTCGAAGGGCGTGAAGCAAACATCGAGGACCTTTCGTCTTATTAATCTGCCCTCCAGCGACTACATGATATTAGCATCCTCCATGGCGATGTTAACAGATACAATTTCATTGTTCAGGACGATACGGTACGGTTGATTGATTTCGAGAAAGGCTAACTCCGTGATAGCGCTGCATACATGTAAGCTGGGATGGGTTATCTATGTGATCAATTAGTGGAGGACATAGGGCGCGGTGCGGATTTTAAGCGGTGAATCAGCCTGATTCAGATAACCCCAGTTCTAGGGGAACAGAGTGGCTACGAAAAAATATGTAAACGCGATGTAAATATCTGTATCGTTGACTTCTGGGTAGGCATGAGACATCGACACGTCAGAGAATATAGAGTGTATATTGTCACGGGCCCGGTCGATCAAGAAGAAAGAGTGCATTAAACTAGAAAAGCAAAGATAGGGAAGCAACAATGAAAGCAAACGAAAGCCTGTGATCATGTAGATCGTGACATGTATACTCTAACAGGCTACCCCGTGCACTCACGAAAACCCAGAAAAATAGAGAGTTGGACCACACTCAAAGACACTCTCATCCTTCTTGGCATGTTCCTTGACCAATTCCTCTCTCAACTCAAGGGCCTCCTCCATATCCATTGGCGTCACAGACTCAACACCATCGCCTTTGATCCAACCAGTCTGCTGGGGTGGAACGTTCCGCGTAGAGCAAAGCCGGTAGGTCGGGTCGATAAGGGGCAAAGTGAGAAAACGGCAGTGGCCGGGCTTGGTCTTGTCTTGAAGCTGTAATGGGCCCATTCGGCGCTGGAAGGCGTTGGGGAAGGAGATCAGGCGGCCCGGAGGCATCTTAACCTCCCCGAGCTGTTGCCAGGCTGGACTAGACTGAATGTTCTCGTATCCGAGAAGCATTCCTATATACTTGACGTCCCATAGGGCATACTTCAGGATGAGATCTCGATATCCCTCATCTGAAGCCCCATCGCTGTCATCGGGGGCATCGCTGTCATCTGAAGCTTCATCGCTGTTATTTGGGGCCTCGCTGTGATCAGGGGCCTCGCTGTCATCGGGGGCGAAATCGCTTTCACTTTCGTCGTCGTCTGACTCCTCGGCGCCAATTCGGTCGTAGACCCAGGTAAGGCCTTTTGTACACCTCTGCCGGAACCTGATTTGCGGCTCGGGCATGTTTTCCGAATCAAGCGCGTAGATGGCGTTGGCGACTATACGTTCGTTTGCATTTCCTTCCGTGTGCCATTCCTCCCCGGGAGAGGATGGCGTTTCGGGGTCTAGCTCGATACTGTGGATCCGGACGACAACCTGGAGACCCTGTTCTCGAAAATCATCCTGCAATGCAAGCGTGTAGAACTGGTGATCGTCAGGGTCCTCTTCCTTGGGCTGATACATCCATGTGTAGGGTGCTAACCAAGGGTTTGAGTCAATGAATTGACAATATTCATAATCCGGACTGCAAACGTAATCGAAGTGTGCCGGGCCAACGATTGCTTTCCCGGTCCTCCCTGCTTTCCAGTCCTCGTATGAGTACGCGGTTCCTGGGTCCGAATGCTTAAAGACGAATGTGCGTGCATACTTGGTCAAAGATGTGCGAAGCAAGCCCCAGCGGGCCTTCCAATCCCCCGGGATCCTTTGCCTTTTGACCTTCTGCCAGTATACCTTATCCTTGGATTCAGGTTCCTGAAGGTACGCCTCCACTTGAGCACACATAGTTTCGTATTCCTCCGTAGAGAGTTTATCCTCGTCTTCCTTGCGGGGCAATCTTTTCGCCCATTCAGGGAACTGGGTTTTCCACTCGACTCCGTAAGTGCGGATACGCATAGGCTCACGAGGATAGGAGATGTAATGCCCATGGAAAAGGCCGTTCGCTTCCCTCCAATTATTACGAACCAAAATCTCGTTCCATTGTTTAATGCTACCGGAGATAACGGTCTCGATCGCGGAGTATATCTCGCGGTTCGTCGGATGGAGATTATTGATGTAAGACGAAATCCGAACATCCGTAGACCCAGGGGGACTAGTGAATTCCACTTCACATGGTAGCCACTGGAATTTCGAGGACCACACGTCCATACCACTGCTCCAGTTTAAGCCCTCTTCTACCAGTTGTGGGAGTTCCAAAACCATCGGGCCCTCTTTACTGCGTGACGACCAGGAATGCTCGGCCATTCCACATGATTACGAGTCTTTTTCTCTTTGCAGATGTCACAGGCTAATTGTCTTGAGTCGCTGGCAGCTCTGCCGCTTGTCGGAACCAGGTGTTTTCCTTTTGCTAGTATAATTTAGGAGAGAGAATAGAGCTTACCGAGGTAACAGGAGGATTTGGTGACCCGCCACTCTCCAAGTGGTGTGCCCCTCTGGAAACACATCTTTAAGAATCGATTATCTTCAAGAGATGTTAAGGGTACGGGCTGTCATCCAAATTCCGAGTCTGTGCGGTGAACTGTCGAAAATCTCTGTAGATGTAGCTAAATTGGGAGCCATAGTTTGCATCACTGGATGTGACGATTAATCAAAGTCTAGGAACGAGGGTGAAGCACTATGGTATATAGCACGCAATCTCTAGCTCTAACAAGTAATAAAAATGGGCAAGAATAATATAATAATCCAGTATTTCTACGTTACATTGCCTAGACCGGTGCCGATTTCCGGAAGTACTGTATCAAGGGCACTGTTCCTGTCAGATCTCACACGGGAGGTTTACTGAAGGCGAAGCTTACCTGACCGATATCTATGAAAATGGGAAATATTGCTTGAAGGTTGATATATGGCTTGAAATGGTTTAGCTTGTCTAGGCCTCCGCAAAGCCCAACTTTGGGCCCGGGGTCCGGGTCTATCCTCCGCCCCCATTAAGCCCCTCCAGAAGCCCATTATCATATAAAAAATGGTCTTGGCGTTTACAAAGGTACTAAATTATAAAATTAAATGACTATTTTTTACAACTGTTCTGGTGTCATACTAATTCGAGTATTTGAAAAATAGAGACTACTAGGGATATATATTTGTGGTAGAGGGGAGTTAAGGGTGAGAATTGTCACCCACAGCAAAAGAAATATCTTCAGCGGAGCCACGGCTGCCCATGGCCAATTGCGGCATTCATCACCCCGGCACTATAATTGGATCTTATAGTGGGACTGCTTCGTCAAAAGAATTGTGGCGGACGCGCATTTTTGTAGTCTGGAAGAGGCAGATTGAGCATCATCTCATAGATATCAGTGCCTATATGCTTCCTGTGGGTGTTATCTGGCATTGACAAAACGAATAACAAATGGTGGATCCATACACCAGACAGTCGATCTCCTGAGGCTCCTCTGCTTCCTGGAGTTACAGAAGTTTTAATGTCAACCCAGTAGGGAAGTACAGATTGGCCATTATATATGATATTCGCCTGCAGTATCACATTCTGAACCAATACCTGCCCACCCGCGGTCTGTTTAACTCCTTGCCCAACAACGGGCAAATGTGCGCCAGATAATCTTTCAATCTGGTTTCTATCGTCGGAGAAGATCCGCATTGACGAAGAGCCGGTATCCTCGAGAAAATCAAAAGTCATGGTAGTCGCCATTGTATTTGTTGCTTGGGTAGTTGGGTTTCGAAGTGATATCCACACCTATTAGATTATCGCATTCAAGTCAGTGCTTATGGCCTTAGGGTTCGCTTTCTGGGAGACGGTACCGTATGCAACGCGAGTCCTGGATGACACGAGTGGAGGGAGAAAAACAAGTATAAATGACCCGGGCTGCAATCATCGATCTAAATTTTTGAATCAGCACCGTGCGCATGTCTCTGTGATTTGGTTTTGAATAGTACTGGTGTGGCACTAAGCTGATGTTTCTTTTGTTCTGGATTTCTTTCTCTCAGACTTACTCCTTCTACCCAAAATCCCGTTGGGCCATGCTTTGCGCTAAGAGAATACAGTTCCTGTATATTCAACTTTTTGGGACCAGCAATCAGTCCACCATTTGACCAATAACTGACTGACTCCCTATCCCAGATCAGTTTTCCAGAGCGGTAAGCAGTCATGAGAGCTCTGACGTTGGAAAGATTATTATCTTCGTCTTCATCTTCGAGGCTCCGCTCCAGCTTTTTCAAGGAATCGAGGCGTTGAACAATTTCCCAACTCAGTCCTTTCGGTTCAGAGTTGATCATGTCCCTAAATGAGGGCAGAATAGCCCTTGGCGTTAGAGCATGCAACAAAACAAAAACACAGTATAGAGTGCGGTGTCTCCTTACATTCTTTCTTGCTTGATGGCTGTGAATGTTTCCATCCTGCTTTGAAAAAAATGAGGCATGATTGCCTCGGAAATACGTTCTTTGCATCTCTCGATTTGGCCATCGACATCACTTCCACAAAATGTTAGTGAACAAAAAGAAATCCATAGAGGGTGCTCTTGATCTTACGCTTCGTTGAGATCTGGCTCATCCACACTCCATCCGTCAGGCAGCTGGGATTGATCTGTAATAGGAACCTCACGTGGTCCCCATACTCTCCTGCCAGGCCTGACTTGCTCAGATGGTTCAGGGAAAGTAAAATCAGCCTCACGCTCGAGGAGCGAGTTTGCAAGGGCAACATGGGGTAAATTAGGGTCAGGCCTTTTGCTCCTTCCCTGGTGAGGCCCACAATATCAGCATTTCAATCACTTTGGCTGGATTGTTTCGAACGGCTCGAAAAGAGAGCGGCGGGCCATAGTACCTTCTTGCCCTTGCCTGGCTTGGACGCAGTACTGGATCCAGCAGGTCTCGACTTTCGAACGCGCTTTTCTTCAACAAGACCATGTAGAAGGTTCGCACCCGTTTGCTGGCTTTGGCGGCGAGTGGTGGGCATTCTGATCTGGGATGATGATTATTTCGAATTGAAACACAAAGTGAAAAGCGCAGAGAGCCTAGAGGATGGTGATAAAAGACGCGAGACAGGACATCGATCATATTTATAATTCTTTTCCATTGAGCCTTCATAGGGGTTTGGAAGGTGAGAAGTCAAAGAAATGTTTCGAGTCGAGCCTGGCAGAGCAGGGAACCGAAGAAAGCCCCGAGGACAAAGAAAGAGCTACAAAGTGCCAATCAAGAGTTCTGATTTTCTCTTTTCCTTCATTCACCTGGGCCCAGGGTGCCTTTCCTGGCTTATGGACTATGATTAAGAATGGTCTTAGCTCCGCTTCGAAAAATAGAATAGAAAAGCAAACTAGCCATTAGATCTGCATGGGAAATATATTGAGACTGTCTATGCCTCGGGTTCATAGGACTTTGCCACCTTGATCTTTCTTTGTCTCTTAGTTAGCTAGCTAAATGCGAATGGGCCTTTTCCTTCAACAAACTATGGGGGAAACCAGGGCCTTCTCACCTCTCACCTCTATCACCTTGGTCTCCAGAATTCTCACCCGTAATACTCATACTAACCCTAAGATAATTCTTGCTTTAATCATCAAGGCATCTCGAGAATTGGCCCTCTAGAGTAATGGGCTTCTGATGCAAAAGTTGAATTTTTTGATTGTCTATATGCATTAGAGATCATGTAGTGACACAGATTTAGTTGACTAAAGATTCCAGGATGATGCTCGAACGGATTCGGATCACCTTTTGCCTCTCGCTGTACGCGATCTCACTCTTGATTTCGCCTATTCAACCCCAGAAGATGAAAACTATCCTCCAGCGGCTTCAACGGTCGAGGGAAACACGGATCCTCTAAGCTCGTGTTTACGCAATTTCCCCAACAACTGACAGTGATGAGTGGGAACTATGTGTCTTACTTGGGAAAAGAACTTTTCTGGCCGTTCAATGATGATAATCCTGAACCTTCCTTTTGGCCATATCTAACTGGTATTAGCATGGATCATATACCCATCACGTTATATGAGGAGATGGATGTTTGAACAGGACGACGACGCCGAGGAGCCTGATTGTGATTTAGATGGTCTTGGCTCCTACTATGATGATATGGATAACACCGATCAGGATTGGGTTCCCCCAAAGGACCGTAAGTGCAGACTATTCCGAACTAAATTCGTGCACGAATTGTTTAATTAATATTATCTACCAGCTAGTAAGGCTGTTCTTCGGATGCCTAAACTAGATTGTATGTTATTAGACATTCGCACTGACCTTTACACCGGTTTTGGTATTAGGTAGAGAACGAAGTGACGAAAGTGACCTGGTCCAGAGGACTCTCCCGGGGGTTTGCTAAGATGGAGGTTGCTGCTTCCATCGCAATAGCAATTGGTCCAACCATAAGTGGTTTACGCAACCTCTTTGGCTACGACTATATAAACTGGACTTGGAGCAAGTGGTTAGCACCTTTGGCTTGTGATCTTGCCGATGAAGGTAAGTCTGCTTTATCTCGTGCAAAAAAAAACCTCATTGTCGCTCAATCTAAAGGACAGTCCCGTGTACCCCACATGGTCGAATCCGGTGTGTGGCCATACATTGACGCATGCGGAAAGTGAGGCTGAATGTCATTGTTGCATTTCGCCCAGGAACACAAAACTCAAATAGGCCCCTGACGGGGTTGCTGGATGTGGAAAAATGATTATAGCAGTGTATTCATTAATATTAAACGTGACCAGATAGTCTTGAAAGACCCAAGTATCCTCGCCAGATACCCTCCATCATATTGTACAATCCAATCTAATCACAAACATAGCAGTGGTATCTTAGCTTTCAAACAACACAAAAGGGTCATAGAATCATCGACCAATGCACAAGCACCAGTCCACTCAACCAAATATACTCGGAACAGCCGGTATCTTACACCAAGCAACCTAGATATTGCCAGTATACGCTGAGTTGCCGTAGCCATAGGCACCGGAAGCCGGGACAGGAGCTGGACTATTGGCGTGCTTGTTTTTACCCCAAGAACTAAACCAGGTCTTCTCTGTCTTGGGCTCAACGTCCATCTCGAGGTCATGAGGGGTTGGGTGGCCGGGCAGGGTATCGGAACCGCCGACGTCACCCTCGGGGATGTTCTTGTTACGACGCCAGAATGTCTTGCGGCTACCGCTGGTGTAGCCGTTGCTGGGGGAGGGACCGAAACGCTTCTCGCGCTTATGGTGGCGGGCGAGAAGGATTTGGAAGAGGATCGAGGTCAGGAAGAAGAAGCTGGGCGATAAGTTAGCATAATCACAATATAATAGTATCTGTAATCTAGGATCATCTCACATTCCGATAATCGACACTGCAAAGACGACCTTTTCCAGTCTGCAGGCCATGCTGAATTTCAGGCCCTTGGAAGCAGTCTCATCCTCGGCGTTGCCCTTACCCATTGGTGTGTCGACTGTTCCGGTACATTGGCCAACACCATCGCGAGTAAGGATGGCGATAGCGACCATTGCGCCGATAAAGCACACATCCAGGGCAACGCCCAGGAATGCAAAGAAGGCAACACCGCCCAAACAGAAGGTGAAAATAATGCCTAGCAGGCCGTAGGCGGTTGCTGCGCCTGCTAAACCTTCAACGGCCTTGATCCATGTCTCAATGTGTTGGTCATTCCTGGCCAAGACAGCCAAGAAGTAGGAGAAAATGCCGAGTATGACGGCAGCGTCGAGGAACTGCAAAACACGCAGTCCAAGGTTGAAAAACCGGAGGATCACCCCTCCGACTCCCATATTGTATAAGGCGTGTGTAATTATTTCTTGATATAAAGGTGACTGTTATGATCGTAGGACCTAAGGAAAATATATGAAAGAAACTCAGGCAACAGGATTTGCGCACGTTATAAAGGAGACAGTATTTGACGATCAGTGGATGGCGGTATTGTACGTCGATCCAGTGAGAAGCTCTAACCTCAATGGCTGACAGGGTCTGCGCCACACTCTACATGACCCTAGATGACCCACTCAGTGATGTCAATTCCACGGGTGAGGATATCCACCTTACTGTCTCCGGCTAGAGAATTCGCCACCGTACCATGTGAAGAAAAGATTTAAAATTAAGATTTCCCCAGCCACACTGCCACAATTTCAATACTGTTCCTACCGTGACCCTTACACTTTCTATCTATAGATTGTTCTACTAATTTTTATATCTTCCAGTCTCCACATCAACTGTGGCTTAGTGATCCTCGCACAGATGCGAGGTACTGGAGGTTTTCAGTTGAAAATAAAGTTAAAAAGAGTTACAATAAACTGAAACTAGCGCAGCTCAAACAATGTAAAGTAGTTTAATATCCTTCCAGAATGACCTAATATACCGCTACTGGTATTATCTCGTTCACACCTTCAAGTTACTTATGTAGTTGGTGTGTCATTGGCTATTGTAGGTGGCTGAATTGTACTGCTGAACATTGGTGTATTTTAAGTATGGCCAGAACCATTGTAGAAGCCCGTCACGTTGAAAATGACGTCTGCACCCACCCATACTACTAAATCTTCCGCGCCACGTCCACTTGCCACGTGCAAGCATTACAAACATGCGAGGTACAATGGGGAATATGTGATATTAAAAATGGGTCCGCTTAAGGAATGGCATATCATCTTGGTGTGAAGTTTGCGTGGTTAATCAAAATGAGGTGTAGTTCAGCAGGTGCTAGGATGTCATCCGGCATAACTTCGGGCTAGTGCGTGTCACCAAATGATTTCCAGGACATGCGCTGCAAGCCGGACGAAGCACAGCTTTAGCCATGAGAACATTCGTGCACGGGTGATCCCGATGTGGATAAAGAGGTTGGGACCAGCCCGGACAAGGCAGATCGCACCAATGTAGATCGTAGAATGGCATCACTGCCGCAGTACAGAAGCCTGGGCATGGTTGATACCTGTTGCCTGAAAGGCTCCACAATAACTTCTTGGAGAAACGTCAGAAATATGACCATCAATGCAAGATGCTGACCTTGTCAACGTCCAGGGATGTCTTTTAACAACGAACCCTATTACCATGTTTCAACTCACATTTTACTTTCTTGGGAATCCCAGATTAAAAGCGATACAATCCTCGACAGTAGCCTATGAGGACTGCATTGTAGTGGATGATGTCTTTTTATCGAAACCGGCTAACAGTCCACCCCTCAAGAGTCTTCCTGGCGTTGCTTTTCTTGTTCAACAAAGGCTCGGAGAATGGAATCCAGTCCTTCGTTGCGGCGAGCGAGTAGCATCACGTCAGATACATTGACAGTAGATCTCCCGGCGTGTCTGGATCACAATTAGGTTAGTACACTTCATGTTGGATGTGCTTATCCCACGGGAAGAATAGGAACAATTGGCTACTCAATCACAGCAATGGTGCCTACTTACTTCGCAAAGGATTCTAGATCCTGGCTGATCGTTTCTGCGAATAGTCAATTACAAGGACAAATACTAGGAAACTGACATCAAACATTGAAACATACCTATCTGAGCCCAAACCATCTCTGTCAACGCACCGATGAACTGGGGAGTGGCATTGACGCCTAGCTTGATAGTCTCCTCATCCACGATCTTGCCGATGGACAACCACAACGCGGATTTCAAGCGCTACAAAAGGAAGTTAGCCAGGTATATGGCAAGGTCCTACTAACACTGACCTCCTCCAGACTAGCTTCTTCAGTCTGCTCCATGGTGATGAGATAGTGCAAGACAACAAGCCGAGCGCGTCCCCATATAAAACCAACGAACCCTGATTGGCCGAAAACGCGTCAGCGGATTAACGGCTAATCCGGCACAATCCAGGCTAATCCCAAAGAGGCATCTTTCTCGTTGCGGGAGCGGCGGAATATCGAAGAAGCGCAAAGCAATCGCAGATCCCAACAATTAATCCCTCAACCCTTATCCTTTTACAAAACTTTCTACTTTACCCTCATCTACCTCTGGCCGTCGTTTTCTACAACTTCTCCCCCCTCCGCGGGTAGCAACCGAGCACACCCCCCTCCAAACCATCAACCAACAAAAAAAATCCAATCATCCACAATGTCCACACCCCAGTCAGATCTGAGCGATAAGGCCGCCGCCGCGGCTGAAGACTTCTTCGCCCAGCTCTATGTCTTCTTCGAGACGATCATCACCCGCTTCTTCAAAAATGGATACGCCTCCATCACCCAGATGAGCGGAAAGCGCTGGACCAAAGTCATCGGAAGCGTGATCATCTACCTAATTCTCCGACCTTACATCGAGAAGACGTTCAAGTGGATGCATGACCGTGACCAGAAAAAGCAGAAGGAGAAGCGCGATAAGGAAAAGGCCAATTTCGGAAAGGTCAAGGTGTCGCCGAACTCTCTGCGTGCTGGTGGCGACAGTGGCAAGGGAAAGATCCTTGGTGAAGTCGATCACACAGATGATGAGCTTGAGGATGAGGAGGATCTTATGGCTGCTGCTAGTGGTGTTCCTGAGTGGAATGACATGGCGCGCAAGCGTCAGAAGAATTACATCAAGCGTGTGAAGAAGGATCAGCGTGCTGAGGATTTGAGTCGTGATCAGATTATGGAATTATTGGATTGGAGTGAGGAGGAGGAGGTGGATGAGAAGACCAAGAAGGATCTTTGAGATTTGAATCGTCTTGGATCTTATGTGCATTGCATGGTCGATGGGGTTTTTGCTTCTTGTATTTTTTATTAGTACATCCCAAATTTAATAGGACTTCCAGGGCCCGTTTCGCTTATAAGTCAATTTTCTCAATTACTCTAGCATCCGATATTAAAAACTCTTATCATGCACAATCACGTATACTTGGAAGTCATAAATCTACTATTTGCACCTAAAACATGCATCCAATCCAGCCATCCGAGCCAGAACTTTTATCCTGGGCCCTTTTAGATACCAGCCATCGCCGCATCTTATTCGTATTCATGAACAGTTCGTAACATATCGCCAAGGCCCAAGAAATAGGTCTCTCGCAAGAGATCAGTGAAGCCTCCTCAAGGCCTCAATCATTTGCTTGACCTCCTCCACATCGGAGGAGCCAATCTCCTGCACAATCTCCTCTTGCATGCTTGGTGTGCAGTTCAAGAACTGCTCAATAAGCTCGCCGTCCACGAACCGGTACGGTGCATCAGCGCTGCGCACCATAGTTCTGAAGCCGCGGAACTTGTCGAATGACAAGTTACCCAATGATTTGATTTTGGTGGAAAGAACAGCTTGCAGAGTCATGAGGAAATCTTGGTGTTCGGGGTTAATAACGGCGAAGAGAAAGATGGAGCCCTCGACCTTCAGATAGGTTAGTAAATGAGCCTTGATTGCCAGTCAACCCGGTCGACTGGGATGAACTTACTGTTGCCATGAACGCCCGCGGTGTCACCGTAACGCTAGCAAGCTTTGCAATATTAACTGGGCGGATACGATTGACCATCTCCCCTATTGAAATTTCGCTAGTAGGGATCAGCCTGTGCTTATCCTGGGTGGTGACTCCATTCATATTCCGCGAGAGAACGATAAGGTTTCCTTCAGCGTCGCTCTGCAGGAATGTCTCGTCTCCAACGCAGGCAATTGCTGTGCTCCAGACAGTCTGATAATGACGACCGACTTCGGTCAGCGTGGCAGGCTCCCCAGCGTGACCCGGCGTATACCTGACAAGACAAAGGCTCTTCATCAGATCTGCCACGGCGATTAGGTTGTCGACGACTGTTAAGTCAACCGGTGCGGTGGATGTCCGATATGCAGCGAGCTTCTCGAGCTTCATTGGTCCAACATTATTGACTTTGACTCTATACACAACGACCTGGAGATTGTCAGTGGAGGGTTCAAACATACAATCGATTAGTACTCACGGTCTTAACCAGTGCCGCAACCACACAATCGCCCATCATAGCGAGAGCACGACAGGCGCCCATAACCGGCAGCTCGGCGACTTGGCTCAGCTTGCGGCCGTGGTCGACTTCCAAAATGAGGATCCGCCCGCGGATCGATTCCTCCTGGTCTTCGTCTGCGAATGCCGTGCCGACAACAAATCGATCCTTCATGATCTCCTTTCCATTTTCGTCTTTCCCTGCCGGAAGCTCGGCACGAACGACGCTCTCCACTAGTTCGTCAGGGCCCAGTTCTAACGCGTCAAGACGCCGGAACATGATTTCATCGGCAAGGACAAAGTGGCTCTTGACAACTTCGGCGCCATTCTCGAGCTTGCGATCAATCGTGCCAATTCCAAATGCCTTCTCGGAAGGGGAGTATGCCACACGACGGACAGTCGATCCCATTGGTAAAGTTTGGATTTGGGTTGTGCGCTCTCTATCAACCAGTGCGATCTTCAGCTCTTTCTCGGTTGCCACAGCGATGGAATCTGGGTATGCCTCTGCGTTCAAATGACATAACCGTGAGGCACCCTCGGAGTTCACTGCAGAGTAGATGATGCGGCCCTCGGAGCCGTAGATCAGGCTGGGATTCTCGCAGGTGGCGAAGACATTGTACAGGCCATCGCCCTTTGGGAGTTTCTTGAATGTCGGTTGTTCGGAACCAAGAATCAGCTTGTTCATCTTACTGAGTGAGTAATCTTGTGGGTTTAGTGAGAATGTAATGACACAGCCATCGGCCATGGAGATGAAGAGGGTAGGTTCGCTGTCTGCGAGCACTTCGGCTACAAGAACTGATCGAGGGAAGCTCTCCCCAGTAGGGCCTAAGGATTTTGTTTGAAGAACAGCGAAGTCTTTAATGGCCATGATTGACACCTTGGCTGATTGCGGGAACCCTGCAATGAAAACACCCGTTGGTGTTGATGGGACGGTCAGACCAGAGATTTGCTGGTCGGCGCCGAGATCCTTCTGGGTGATGATCTGGACATTGTCTCTGATATCAAATGATGCTACAATTTGGCCACTGATAACGAGAACCAGATGGTCCTCATTGGCCGACACGGTAGTGATCAGCTTCTGGTCCTGGGGTGCCCATTCAAATGTCACCATTCCGCTTTCTAGATCAGCCACCAGCACGCGCTGTTCTGTGACCTGAAGAATACGGCCACCTTCGAGTCTTGTGGCGAGAAGAGTACATTCTGTGAATGAAAGCCCCAAGAAGTTGTCCAACTCTTCGACTTCGCCGTCAGGGCTAAACTGGAACACGCGCGTTTCGTCAACAAATGTAACAATAAGGGTGTCCAGGAAGCCGTCTTTGCTTCGAGTTTGAAGTCCCCAGAGATCATTGATGTGCTCTATCTCTCCCAGCACACCTAGCTCTTCCATGCCAACACCACTGCGCACACTGCGTAGCGTCCCGTCGTCAAATGCACCAGAACCTGTCACAATTCGAGCCTGACCGGACGAAAACTCATGCGTTTGGCTCTCATTTGAACGGTTCCCAAGATCCATAATAGTGAAGTCGAGGATTGGTGCAATGTTAGACAATGTTTGAATGACCTCAAACGAGCTTCCATCAAGCCGGAGGACCTGCGAATCGCCATGATGCGAGCCAACAAATAGCATGCCTCCGCCGAGATAGATTAGCACCGACGCACGAGACGTCTTGCCCAGATACTCCAGCTTCCAGTCATCGATTTCGCCCGAGTTGTTCAGAATGAAAGATAGGAAGAATAGCCTCCCATAGTCATCAGCCAACAGCCACCGTTGACTGTCGATTTTCTCCCAGGCCACGAATACTGTCGCCTCGTCAAGATTTCGCGTAATCACATCATTGGCGTTATCGTCGATGTACTTGATCGAGGTCTCACCAAGCACAATGAGACCGCCCAGCGGCGCTGGGATAGGGATAAGATGCGACGATCCAAGATCAAGCTCCTGTCCAAATTCACCTCCCTCCAATTTTTGCACCTCCTTGAAAGTAGCATCTGCTGAAGTCCCCGAAGTCCCCGGCGTAAAATCCAACTCGCGGATTCGAAGCCGCACCTTCTGCTGGTTATCTTCGTAAAGTAGTGCCAGCCAGGGATTGGATTCTGAATGCAAAAATGCCGAGGATCGAACGAAAAGCTCATCAATGCGGGATGTAGTCGGCTTATCAAGCTCTCCCACCTGCAGCGGCTGGTCAGCCTGGGACCCTGCCATCGACATCCGGCCTCGTTTCTTTGTCGGCTGTACGATTGGAACAACAACGATGACGCCCTCATATACTTCCAGTGTCATGAACCGCCCCGTGGGATCGATCAGGCATCGGGGTGCGCATTGGGACTCCCGAGACGAGGGCTCGGCGATGTCGACGCAGGTGCGCGCTGTTTTGATCTCATTTGATTCGCGGTCCCATGTTATTGTAAAATAGTTGTATTGGTCTGTGCCGACGAAGAGGTGGTCCGTAGGGGAGTTTGTTGGTGCCGGCAGGCGCGCGAGCATAGTGACCCGCGCGTTCAGGGCGCGAGTCGCGGTCAGGACGATTCCATCAGGTGTGAGGGTGTAGAACTCTAGACGACTGGCTTTTCTGTGGGTTCGTGGGGAAATTAGCTATAGTGCTCGTCGTCATCGGGTGAGAGAGGTTGGCTTGGGTGCCAGTAGCTTCGCGGGAGGATGGGACTCACGCTGCGACTAGGCACTCTTCCTCCGGAGCGAAGAAGTTTAGCTTCACTGCATGACGAATGCTGCTTGCCCGGTGAATTGGCACGACATAAGCCATCGTAGTTCAACAACCTGGGGTATCTGACAGCGCGGAGCTGGTTGGGCTTGAGGTTCGGCGCACTACCCTGCACGGATGGAATATGTCAAAGGTTGAGAGATATAGGAGACTGAGATAGCGAAGATTGCTGGCGAATTATGGACTGTGCATAGCTCTAAATCAACTCTGTTGAGGCAGGGATTGCTCGGTCGGCGTGGGGGGGGATGGAGAAGTCGAGGTTTCCGTACAAATGACGTCTAAAGTCCGCGCTTACGACCGAAAACATCCAGAATAACTTCCACTTGAATCGGTAGTTACATACATGGGACATACATGAACATAGAATTTATTTCAATTTGAGAGAAGGGGAAAAAAATTAAATTCCGTTTAAAATCACAAGTCTAGAGTCATACCCGCCCAACCGGCAGTCCATAGCTAACAAGCTCAAAGTCCTCAGTATGAGGGCAATGCTAGGGAAACATGGCAAATGAAACAAGTTATTGTATAGAACAAAATGATAATATATAGGCGCGAGCATCTAAGCTGATGCAAGCGCAAAGAAGTGTTCATCAATCATGAGATCATGACCAGACGTCCTCCTGGTAGCTGCCGCTGCTACGCATGTGCTTAACCATCTCCTCGCCCTTTTCAGCAGGCAAACCCCGTTGATCGGCAATGATGTGGCCAAGGACCAGGTTGACCTCACGAGCCATGTTGGCAGCATCACCGCAGACGTAGAAGTTGGCCTTTTGCTTGAGCAGCTCGCTGACAAGCTCGGCGTTCTCCTTCAGACGGTGCTGGACGTAAACCTTCTCGGATCCCTCGCGGGAGAAGGCAGTAACAATCTTCAGAGAGTCACCCATCTGATCTTGGAAGGTCTAAGGCAATCATGTCAGTGTGAAGGTTCGAATATCCAGTGTGAGGGAATTGTTTCCATACCTTGAATTCATCCTTGTAGATAAAGTCCTCGTTGCTCTTGCGGCATCCAAAGAACAAAAGTGTCGTGCCAACCTTCTCTCCCTTGGCAGCAAGAGCAGCACGTTCCTGGATGAAGCCACGGAAGGGCGCAACACCAGTACCGGGGCCAACCATGATGATAGGCTTGGACGGGTCGGAAGGCAGCTTGAAGTTAGAGTGACGGACGTGGACAGGCACGTGGATACCATCGTACTTGTTACGGGGACCGTTAATCGAGTAAGTCAGGCCGTGAGGATCGGGGGACGCGTCACCGTTCTGCTTCTGCTTAAGAGCCAAGAGGTAGTTGGTGGTGACACCCTTGACCATGTGCGAGGCACCCGGCAGACGAACAGACTCGACAACAGCGGTGATGCTGATCTTATCCTTTTGAACCAGAGATGACGAAGAGATAGAGTAGTACCGAGGTTGGAGCTTGTTGATACCTTCAATGAGGAGGGAGAAAGGAACGGCAGTGAACGGCTTGGAAGTGATGCTTTGGAGCGCCTGAGCAATGGTGTAACATTGGTTGGTGATCTTCTCGTGGAAGTAATCCTTGTCGTTGCCCAAGCGGACAATCTCGTTTTTGCTCTCCTCATCGGGGGCGAAAGGAGCGAGGGTCGAGACAAACTGACGAGAGACGGGGGCGCAGACTTCCATGTAGTAGCGGATAGCGGCATCGTAGGTGGTCGGGGTCGGAATAGGAACCTTGGCCGTAACATCTATACCCTTGATGTTGATCACCGAGTGGCGTTTCTCCTCAATGCCAAAGACTTCGAGGAAGCGATCGACCTCGGCGCCAGCGTTTGTGGGCCAGATAGCGATGTGATCACCAGTCTGGTAGCTGAGGTTGCTACCAGCGATGCTGATTTCCATGTGCAGACAGTTGCGGTCCTTGACAGTGAACAGTTCCGAGGATTCGACAATTGGGGCGATGTAGGGGTTATGCGCGGAGAAGGGACCCTTGGGGCTACCCTCACGGTGGGAGGCAGTGGGCTCACCCAGATAGACGGACTCTTCCTCGGGAGTTTTCACATCATCCTCGTCAACGGAGAACACGGCTTCGTAGACAGCTTCACGTTCCTGGAGATCCATGGCTTCCGACAGAGCAGCCCACATAGGCTCCTTCCAGGCCAGGAAATCTTCCTCCATGGTGCCGGCGCCATCATCGCCCTCACCAGCAGTTCCAATGCGCTGCGCACCCAGTTTGGTCAGAGCGGTATCGACCTGACGGACCATGGCGTTGTAATGTTCATAAGTATTGTTACCCAGACCGAATGCGACATACTTCATCGAGGAGAGAGGCTTGTCTTCGGAGGAGGCGCCGCTCTCAAAAGCGACGTCCTCACCAGTGAAAAATTGGTAGAACTCCACGGCGTTGTCGGTGGGCTCACCCTCGCCGTAGGTGGCCAGCACGAAAAATGCGACCTTGTCATCGGGGAATTTGTCCAGGTTCTCATAATCATAGTCCTCAATATCGGCGACCATAGTCTTCAGGCCGAAGCGCTGAGAACCTTCCTTGGCAAGTCGAGATGCATAATCCTCCGCGGTACCAGTCTGGGAACCGTAGAAGATGACACAGTTCTTGTTAGTCTCGTCCATCTTCTCCACGATATCGCGGGTTTTGCCGCTCTTAGCGGCTCCATTCAGGGTGGCGGTCGAGGCATATGGATCTTTGGGGACGGCCCAGTAGCTACCCTTGGTGAAGTAGGCAACGCTACCCACCAAGAGTGCCACCAAGACGACCAAATCGAGTGTATCCAGTTGCGCCATTGTGTCGAAACCGAGGTTTGTTGTGGCGCGAATTCCCGCCGGGAAGGGATAACTAGTTGAATGTGTTGCAAGACCGGAAGAACAAAAGAAAAGGTAAAAAGTCTGGCAAGTATGCCCTCCCCAAAGGAACCCTAAATGAGAGCGTGTTGTACAGGATAGAAAGCCGAAGAAGCCAACAGGTGGTCTGATCCCCACCCTCAGCGGCTTCCGAGATTGTGGATCTTCACAGGCAAATCCTCACCGCTGTCTGCTTACGTATTGTCGTACTCCAAGAGTATAAAGTACTCTGCCCTTTTTTTGAAAAGAAATGATTAGAAGAAAATAAGCAACCTCAATTTTCGCCTAGGAGTTTTATATAATAGGGCCGAGGGTGGGGAAGCATATGTCCCTCTATACGTTTCCCCGTCCGCGGCAGTTCTCTCAAGGTCAACAAAGAAAGGCGGAGCTCGGATAAGGAGATGGCGGCAAGGCCGCTCGGGAGATAACATGGACCTTTTAGATCTTCACGGCTATGCGGAATGATTTCCGCCTTTCTCTTCTTCCTATCTACAGACCTTGGGCTTCATTCCCCGTGGCAAATTACCCTTCTGGGTTCTCGGATCCCGGCTTTGATGTGGGGAAGATCGCCTATAACATATACTTGCATTGTACGTACAGCGCGCACATGTGTAGCTAACATATGGAGTCAACCTCTTATTGTAGGTCACCACTGAGTCAGTGTCGGTATATTTTCTTCTTTCCAATGCTGTATATTGGATGTCCAAATACTATTTGTCATATTCAGACTTCCTACAATATAGGCTCTAAACGAGTCGAATACATACTTCCAAGAACACTTCAATTTAGGATATTCGGCGAATGGCATGCCGAGTGTTCCTGATATATATAGGACCGAGAGACTTACTGCATGTACTTCTCCAAAAAAAAAATAGAGGTACCAAACCAGCTCTAGAGACTAGCCAATTACATATAGACAGGATAATGTCTGACAAGTCTTTGCTTCCCGGTTCCGTGTGCTCATCGCTTGCCGCTTTTTGCTCACTGGGTAGAACTGAGCACGCCCTGAGTATCACCTGATCGCTATGTAAGCCAGATGTCACGTTCGCTGAGTAATCTGATCCTCACTGGGCGTGACCTGAGCGCTCTGATTTGCTCACTGAGCTGAGTGATCCCACTCACTGACGAGTTCTAACTATATATACTCTTTACTTTTATATTAGACTATTTCTTCAAAATTCATTATCTTAATAAGGTATTCAATTAAGCATCTATAGGTTAACGGAATAGCTGTAAAAAACAGAGATGAATCATCCATTTTATCTAGCTAAAAGAGGAAAGGCGTCAAGAAATTATATAAATGTCGGTTTATGCGGGTTAATGAGGTTACCCTCCATCGACCCTTCCGACCCTCAGGGTTAGTTAAGGTGCGAAAGTCTGCACCTGCACCTCTTGCAGTGCGGTGCAGGTTCCGAGATTTCGCACCGCGGGAAGGTACAAAGCCAGGTCTACGAACGTGTATTTACGGGTCCATTTACTGATTGTAGATATAGAAGCTAGCTCCTAGCCAATTATAATCCACCATATAGTGTATTTAGCTTCCGCCTAATCTCGAAACAGTGGAATGTTTATTTCTAAGATACTGCATACACTTGTAATGAAAACACGCTGTCAACATGTACCCAACTGGCCGGCAACGTGAGCCCTTGGAGAGCTATGACCGCAGAAAGGATCTCTTAGCCAAACTCAAACACGTCGCTTTCCGTGCTTTTCCAGCGCTTGCTCAATAGCTCTTGCCACATAAATGCACTTTTCCTCTCCAAATCGGCCACCCACCACTTGCATGCCGACAGGCATGCCTTCAACCAAGTTGATATCGTCTAGGAAGGAGAGTCAGTACAACCCAAAACTAGAATAAGTCATAAACTTCACTCACACTGCGCATGATTGAAAGAATCACTTTTGTTTCTTGGCGTGTGCTGCATCCAGTCTTGGTGAAGGATGGGGGCATCTTCTGACTTCGTTGCTGTAGTGACAGGCATTGCTAGGGCAGCATAATCCAAGAAGTTCCAGATGCTGGTGTATCCAACATATTGATGTGACTTTACCCATGTCCGGGGACTGTAACCCACCCAGGGAGTTACGGGCATAATCACAGCGTCTACATTAGACTCCGTCCAACGCTCGAGATACATTGATTCAAAATCGTACTTTTCCGACACGAGCTTCCGCGTGGTTCTATGTTAGTGTGATGTTACCTCTTAATACGAAGTTGCATACTTACTTGGTGGGTCTGAGCAGTCGTCAAAAGATCTGATGGTGTCCCGACTAACATGCCCTCGATCAAAGGCTCACCACTCATCTCGCACATCTTGCGACATGTCTCTCCACCGCCAGAGAGGATGCACTTTTCCCACAATTTGTAGGCATTTTTGTGCGACGAAGCGTCCCATTCAAACACTACCACCAGTTTGTCAGACAGGACCCTATTTTACGGGACGGCAAAGAATTTACCTTCGTGACCTCCTGCCCTCAAAGCCTCAACAACTTCTCGAATAGCTCTTGCAATCGGAGGCTGGACTTTAACGACACCATCATCAAGTACAAAGCCAATCTTGAAATGATTTCCCTGAGTTGAGGGGCGGCGCAGGCCCCAAGGGAGAGGCACTTGTTCTGGGTCAAATTCCCACGCAGAGGCTTTTTGTAATGACTTCATATATATCTCAATTGTTTCCAGACTTGTTGCCATTGGACCAGCAACTGGACGCACTAAGTCCTGTCGAGCACTGCTCATACTGCGTCAATATCGAATTCACTTCCACCATAGGAACGACTGTCCGAACTTACCCTTGCCGGTCAAATGGCTGTCTACCCACACTAGGGCATAATCCATAGATACCACACAGACTTGCGGGAATTCGAACGGACCCACCAATATCCGTTCCAATTCCCAGGATACTACCTTTGCTACTGATCAACGAGCTCTCGCCACCAGAGCTACCCCCGGAGATCAGGCGACGGTTCAGGCTATTCACGCATTGACCAAAGACATGGTTGTAGGAATCGGACATCTAGAGAAAGGATCAGTAAACTTGCTCTGAAACCGTTGAGCTGACATGGCCCTTACCATCAGGGACTGTGGGACGTTTGTCTTCGTGTACAAAACGGCACCGAGGCGACGTAATGCTCGCGTTTCCTTTCCGTCCACCTCGGAAGGTTTGTTTGTCAGAGCCACCCATCCTAGATGCACATTGAAGTATCAGATCAATGCAATTCTTAGATAATTATGAGGCGGTAAACATGTTGGAGGAAATGGAATAGTATTGTCAAGCTCATACCGACAGAAGTATCCACACCCTTGACTCTCAATGAGTCTTTCACAGAGACCGGCAGTCCATGAAGCGGACCCACGGGCGAGCCGGTTTTTGCGAGATGTTCATCGAGAGCTCTAGCAGTAGCGAAAGCTGCCTCGAAAAAAATCTCCGTGCAGCACGTCGTCAGTTGGTGTGCAAATGCGGCACGCTTAGCGAATGCTTTGGTTAGTTCCTCCGAGGTCAGCTTCCCGCTTGCCAGATCCTGGAGATGGACGGTGATATTTGTCACTTCGGTTAAAGCAAGCTCATGGGGTGTGAGAAGCCCACGGATATAATTGAGGGCATCGGGGACTGATTCGGCAGAGGGAACATGTTTCAGGCGCCACTCAGGCGGAATTGAAGAGAGTTGTTGGGCACGCTTTGCGGCACAGCGCTCTTCATAGGACGGTGTTGCAGTCATTTTGATATAAGGAAGCCTTGAATGTCTGAGTGTGCCACTGGCTTGACGATTTATGTTGATAAGTTGGCCAGCACGAAAAGAAGGAGAAGGGGGGGAGGGGGAAGAGTAGAAATAACCAGTGTGACCGCTTGCAACTCACTTAAACTTTTTCGGTTTCCGTGATATTATATACGTTCGAAATATTCTTGAAAACAATGGTGTTTTTACTTGAGTAAGGTGGCGGCTACGCCAATTTATCTCAACGAGGGCAACGGCAAATCTGTTACGGTCTAGACTGCTTGCCTACTTGGGAAAGCAAACCAAGCAAAAAAAAACGTCTGGTAAACAACCGGACGATGTGGAGCCTCTCAGTTATCGGTCATGGTGCAAGTGGATTCTCTTGACAATGCAACTATTTTTATAGTTAACACCGAGATTTAGATCAGTTTCCACTTCAGGTATGATCATGAAGAGTGCCCTATCATCCGCGAAAATGGTTCACTATACGATGATTCTCCACCACCATAGATAGCAAATAGTCATTACTGAATTCTTTACCAACCGCAGCGGGATAAATTCTATGCCGAAGAATCTACATATACTGATTCCTTGCCCGGTACTCTACGCTGGACAACCCCATCTTACAATCGGATTATCGGACTTGTCCAGTAGTGTAAGCGAATGTCGGAGGTAACTACATATGTGCAGTAACTTCGTAATCTCAAGGATATGACACAGGAAACATAGAAAAGCAGGAAGGTAATACTCTCCCATTAGGTGATATATATCATGCGTAAAGGTAGAAGAAGAAGAAGAAGAAGAAGAAGAAGAAGAAGAAGAAGAAGAAGAAGATAGAGAGACACAAAAGGTAGGACCAAGAGAAGCGGGAAATGGGAGTATAGTTTTGATATCTATTCGAATCACCCTATATACAAGTCTGCTACTGACTATTGGCCAAATGATTCCCCTGACCTTGCACGGAAACAATCCACACTGAACGCAATATCATAGGAGCCTCTGGCGATATTGCAGTACCCAATCAATATAGCGCCGAAAAGAAGAATGGCCCAGTGCAAAGAATGCGCAACACCTAAGCCCCAGATCAGCCACCCATGTGGATTGCTTATCCACCCGTGCTGTCCATTCGCTCATGCCAGCACAGCCCACCAGACTTGCTAGAATGATAGGCCGTCTTCCAAAAGCCAGAGCCAGCGGTTATGATGCCTGTATCATGACATACTGGCTCCAATATCGAGTACACAGAGGATCCACCAACACCGGTGTATAACATAAAAGAGAATAAGGCCAATATTGAGCAATTTTCAAGATCATGACCAGTGTAAGGGGTCATCAGGATGATGGCGTGGGTACCAGACGAATGTCAACGCCATCAGATTGTTGGTCAATAAGATAGACTGTGCCCGGTGGAAGGCCATCATTTGACTTTGTGGCTGACATGATCTTAATGGCCTGAGAACATTGAAGGAACAAAGATCGATGAGAGGGTATCTTTCTTCGATCCTGGTGACGCCAGTATCTAATCATCCATTACAATTTAATAAAATCCATATCATAATTGCTTATCAGATGAAGTGAAGATATGAACCTGCTCCAGAGAAGAGCGGACCTAGACATACCATTGGGTAATAAGCGTGTTATCTACCATTGAAACCAGAAATTGACGTGGAATTGGAGAAAAGATGTCCTATTGGACTGGCTTGTCTACGAAGAAAACTCAATGACGCTTTGCACAACAGTATTTATCGTCTAGCGATTTATGCCATAATACTTCATGCTATGACTGACCAAAGAAGCCTTCAATTGTTGGGGCGATTATGCTTCCGATGTTCAAGAATGATAACATGCAGAAGGCCAATTGGATATTATGTTTCAATCATGGCTTGTCATTTAATATGTCATTTTGATCATCTGGCTATGGAGGCATTTCACCTCTGGAAGAATCAACAATCCCTATGTCTATCCTCTCCCGGCATTTCTATGGATCTTATCTCCGAAGTCCAAGTTGGTTCTCGGTGTTTTTTGTGCTGTCGCAATTCCTCGACTTGCGCACCATGATCCAGCGCTAATACAGAGAGTATAAAGTGATAAAAAGGACTTCTTATCTTTGTATCGGCAGGAGATTTTCAATCATTAGATGATGGGAATAACGCGTCAATGCCATGCGAGCCTTATGAACCAGCAGATCTCAATCTGCCTTGAGCTTGAACGAGACAATTATATTGGACAGTTCCTATCGGAGCCCTTCGAATACCTATCAATTGGAACGAAGCTAGTACGTATGCTGGCAAATTGCTCTGGTAATTCAATTTCAGAACCCTGAACGTGTGCTTCGGGCTTGTTTCGTTTCCTAATCCGGAAGGGATATTGGTGGATTTGCGCTAACCGGATACGAGGAGTCAAATTTTCAGCCCGTACTTTCCACTCCTTGCGCAATCCTGAAACGAAATCTGTCTACCAAAGGTCGTCTTCCTGCATTTGCCCGACAGACAGACAGTTTTTTGAAGGTCAATGAAATCAACGGCAGTTGCTAAGGGAAAGCCCCGCGGAATCCGACGCGACCGAGATTGTCGAAGCTGTAAAAGCAGAGGCATTAAGTGCGATCTGAACCGCCCACGGTGTCTTCCATGCGTCCAGTCTGGGCTCCCCTGTGGGGGCTATTTACAGAGAGTGGTCTGGACCACCGAATTGATACCGAAGCAAGCGGTGTTATCATCAGCAACATCGGCAATACCATCGGCCACGGCCCCTGTAATGAGTTCTTGGTGTAACAACCGCCCTGAAAGCACTAGGTTCAATATCATCAAGCGTTTGATGACCCTCCGTGAGAAAGTTCGGTCCAATCAGGGCCGATTACACGGGTTTTCACCCTCCAGCGAGAATATCACATTCGTGTCGCGAGTATGGGATTTCGCTGCTAAGAAAATCCAGTCTTACGGGGCTGAAAAGCAATCTAATTGTCTCGCTACGGACTCGGCTCGTCTTCATGTCGCGGCCTTGGGAGAAGTCAACAAGGCAATAGACAAGGCCGACCCCATCGCGTTGTTCGGAATCGCCACTTTCGCCTTCTTTGAGGTATGCGATGGGTCTTTCGGGAAATGGCAGCGCCATCTCTACGGCGCTTTGTCTCTCTTAGACGTGCATTGTCAAAGTCGGGCTGAGTTGGACCGATTGTCCGACGACATCGTGGGCCTGAAAGAGGTCGTCGCTAATCTTGTCTGGTTTGACACCATGGGAACTATCATTCGAGGGAGCGGCAGTTTAATATTTCGTGACTGGCATCGGGAGATTATAGAAGATGGCTTTCTCGGCATGGTTGGGTGCCCACCTGACACATTTGAGCTCTTTGTCACGCTCGCTAGGGATAATAATGAGCCAGGGTCCTTGGACCATGCATTTCAAGCAATTAACCAGATCCTTCAATTAGGCTCCGAGTCCACTGACAAATCTCAGGCCTCCAATGCCTGGAGGTGCACTGCATCAATTGCAGTTCTAACCATCTTTGGGGCAAATTCTTCAAGAAACTGCCAGGAGGCATTATCTGGGGCAGTTGATCGTGTCTGTGCAATACTTTCGAAAATGTCGACCGCGTCTAAATTCTATATTCACATGGCCGCTGCAGCATATCTTGCGGGTATCAACACGACAACTCAGCAGCAATGCGATGTTGTTCGAGCGTACTGGAAGAACTGCCAATCCACTGGCATGTCTCTTTATCTCGACGCTCATACGTTGTGTGAGCAGAGATGGAGATTGGAAGGTCTATGCTAAGTCCACTGCAAAGTGGTTTGTCTGAATAACGGAGTTCATGAGGCATTGCATGTGATTTAGTGACCGTGAAATGCGGCCGTGCATGGAGTGAACAGGTGAATGGATTTTATTTTGAGTTTGACCTGAGCTCAGCTATTTATCAAAACGAGAGAGTATTTGCTCCCAGAAACTAGTGGTTGTGCACATTAGAGCAGGTCATGAAATTAGAGAAGCCTCCAGACTTAAATTCCCGAAATATTAACAAACTTCCGCAAAGAGATCATCCCCATCTGCGGTGATCTTTAAATCCGTAATCCTTTATCCATGAAAAGTAACGCAAGAAAAACTGCATTCGCCGTTACCAAAAGTCGAAGCCTGCTCTTAGAATACTAAAATGCCCCTTCAAATGCTCTCAAGCGTTCTCCAAAGTGGACTCCGAGCGCGTAGCTTCGCGCCATACCGGACAAATATGAGCGGAATTATAGCTATGAAAGCCGCGACGAACCCGAGAAGAGATGTTGCCCATTGAATGGCAAGGTTCGAGTACATTGATTCCGTAGCAAGAGGAAAACAAACAGCAAGAATCGATCGTATTGAACTGGCAGCTGTATGTGCTCAAGCTGAATTCTTTTTGTATGCATCTGTGATGTAATTCAACATAGCAACGAAGACGAGAAGAAAGCCCGAAGAGAACCAAATCCCTGCTGCCATGGGAAGGATCGGATTGAGAGTTTTTCTCGAAAGACATGCAAGCCAGAAAAGAGCAATAACAATCCTTGTGGCGGTAGAGTTAGTCTTTGGTATTGAAACAACGGATGGAATGCATTACAGGGATGCCCCAATCATCGCGAGTGGGAGTCAACGAAACTCCTCCTGTGCCGTCCAGGAGTTCCCATATTTAACAGCTCGTTTATGAAAAAGATTTATGAAAAAGATCATATAATAGACACGCCAAGAACTCGAGACAACTTCCAATCATCACTTTCCCCTCAAAGTTATTTAGCATCTCATCAATACAAGGCTGTGGATTACTGACATGGAATGAAAGCTAGTTCGGAGACTCCCTGAGCAATCCATACAAATCTAGCCCAGTTAATTCCAAGCACTCTTTGGCACTTGCAGACTTATGTCGGTGGCTACAGGGCTCGCGGATACTTGCTCACCTTGGAAGATGATGGGGTATGACTAAAAGAAAAGGTACAGTATGCCATATACCAAAGCCATGTGAAGAGAGGAAAATAGTAAAATTGGCTCCGTTGTTACCATGACAAACGGTCGTGCAAGTGCTGAAAATCAATGTCTTTGCTTATGTTACAAAGGCTGCTTTGTAGAATTTCCAGATGTGTTGCTGTCTCTTTTTCGAGCGAGGACGGAGCCGTAGGTTTCTGGGAGGGTACACAAAAGAGGCAAGAAAATTCTCATCATCATCACAAGTATCCAAAATGGCCAGTGCCAGGAAACTGAAGATGCAAATCCAGAGACTATGGGACCAATTTGAGGACCAAGCATTGTCATGAACGTGAAGATAGCCATAGCTTTTAATTCTTTCTAGGGATGAGATGATTCCTATTATACTTATGCTATATTTATGTACCTTTTGTATTGATATGGCCTATAAAAGATACCATAACTTCTATATTATGGGTAATTTTAGATAATTATTCTATTTTAACTAGCGGGTCCGTATGGACTAATAATTAGAGGATAAAGTATAGATAATAGTATACTACAGGCAAAATCCGGTTAGAGACTGCCGTAACACACTCTCGCACACTTCGAAGAAAGCAAGCATGGCTATGCCAAATATTTCTAATGTATGACCTGTTGAAACAGCTTCACTTAGACCTCCAACGGCTTTGTATAGTTTGATCGAGTCTAGAGATCTCATCTTTACCTGTTGAAGAAAAATCCTAGAAGCGGATGGAAGCAAAGTCCCAGACCCCGGAAATTAAGCTTCTCGCATACTTCGAGTCCTCTGTGGCCGTCTATCTGAACGTTATGTGCTTGAAGGACTTAATTAACGGAGAAAGCCGTGAAACTTGGGAACCGGGGGCATCACGGAAGAGAGCAGACCAGATTCATTGGCCAAAATTTTCCCGCGGCTAGTTCCTGCCCTGGCTTCTCTTCTCGTGAATGTCAGCAAAAACCATGCGCATTGGATATCCAACGTAGACCAGGTCGGATTGCAGATACGGCAAGCAAGCGGGACAGTTTAGGTCACATTTGACGCCGCGGGAGTTGCATTTGCGATAATATCTATCTCAGCGGATGATGAGATTCAGTAAGATAGATGGAATAGGAAAGTAATCAAATTGACGTGCCGCGAAGTATAATAAAGTAGGATAATAAAGGCATTTCGGAACTGGGGCCGAGTAATACCTTATGGGGCAGGGAAAGACTTTCGGCAGATTGGACCTCTAATGACCCGAGGATCATGCTTATCTCCGTCTGATTTAACACTATCAGCCTTCTTATGATCCATTTCCGGTTTAGGGAAGTTATCATAAAATCTAGTATCAATCCTCACCACCTGCCCTAGCACCGATCCCCGCCTTATTTATCCGTATCTGTTTACCCAGGCATGGCAGCAGATATATAATAGACATACCCTCGACTATAGCTACACGTAGAGGTAAAACCCAGCAAAGTTCAATTGGGGTCATCAACAACACGAAATATCAATATCTCTGTTACATGAATAGGCCATGGTGGCGACAAATGAGACAGCATTGCCCCCGGGCACCATACGCTTGATAGAAATGGAGAATGACGAGGTTATCCTCGTTCCTACCCCTTCTACCCATCCAGACGATCCACTGAATTGGTCTAAAGGCCGTAAGCTTTTAAGCTTATCCCTAATACTCCTATACACCTTTACTACAGGGGTCGGCGGGACTTCGGTTTATTCGGTCCTTACTCCAATCTCAAAAGAAACCCGTATCACCATCGGCCAGCTGAACACAGGGACTGGCTTTCTCTTCCTCATGGCCGGCTGGTCCAATCTGATCTGGCAACCCCTCGCGGAAACCTATGGTCGACGTCCTGTTCTCTTGCTCAGTTTAATCGGATGCGTGGCAATCACGGAATGGACAGCATGGATTCCGAGCTACTCGTCATGGGCCGCTGCTCGTTGCCTCTATGGGATCTTATGTGGCCCAGCCGAGGTGCTGCCGGAGGTGTGCATGTCGGACATTTTTTTCGCCCATGAACGCGGAACATACATTGCTATGTACATGTTCGTTCTCTGCGGCAGCAACTTTATCGCTCCTCTTATTGCAGGCTTTGTGAATGACGGCGCTGGATGGCATTGGGTACAGCATTGGTCTGCCATCTTGCTTGGAGTCAATTTGGTCTTGACCTTCTTTTTCTATGAGGAGACCATCTACACACGTTCAGCGGTAGAGGCGACGGAAGCTGATCTCTGCTTGCCTGACCACAACCTTAATTCCAGTGACTGCAAGCGGTCTCTCAGCCCTCCCCCAGTTGCACTGGAAGAGGGCTTGATCTACGAGCTCAAATCATACAAGGACAAGCTGAAATTGTGGTCCTACCAATGCCTTTCTCTGTCCCAGTTTTTTAGAATGATGTATCGCCCAGTGTTCATATTCTTTCTATTCCCCAACATTATGTGGGCTGGTTTCATGTATGGTTCTGCTCTCGCATGGTAAGCTCGCCTCCTCTTCTCCCAAACCCCTAAACCACCACTACCCGTACTAGTGGGCTTGCTAACAAATCAGGTTCAACGTTTACAATGCAACCGCATCGTCAATTTTAACCGCTGTCCCTTACAAATTCTCGGCCACCTCGGTTGGAGTCACGTATGTCGCTCCTTTAATCGGAACCATCTTTGCCGGAGCGATAAACGGACCACTGTCTGACTGGTATACCATACGCCTGGCACGAAGATCAAATGGGCTCCGTGAACCCGAGCAGCGTTTATGGGGACTGACGGCCTACTGCATCGCCATGCCCGCGGGGCTTCTTCTCTGGGGACTGGGAGCCGCACATCATCTCCACTGGGTTGTCCTTCTGCTGGGCGCTTTGCTGATCGGATTTTGCAATGTGGCTGGTGGCAGCTATGCGCTGGCATATTGCGTGGATAGTTTTCGCGATATTGCAAGCGAATCGCTCGTCTCAGTCATCCTCTGCCGCAACACCATGTCGTTCGCGATCAACTATGGTATCACGCCATGGTTAGAAGCCAATGGCATGCAGAATACCTTCATAGCCACGGCCGTTCTAGCTTTGGTCGTTGGGTGCTCATTCTGGTTAATGATCTTTAAGGGGAAGCACTTCCGCACGGTCTGCGCAGATCGATACCGGCATTACGTGGCAACCCAAGTTGCTAGCCGTCATTAAGTTGGGAAATTGCCGTGTCATATTTTGTTCTCGATGTGTCCATCAAGTTCAATATGGTCATTGCATACATAGCATCACTTTAAATTATTTTACCTATGATCCACAATTGTTTTATTGGTCTAGGATCCTTACCAAGATGAGAAAGTCTACTGTCATATGGTGCTGTATACTGTTTCTTCTCTATCTCTGGAGTGTTAAAATCCTAGCGTTCCTGGTTTTCTTTTATGTTTATCTCGACCACATGCTCCAGGGATCTTCAAAATGATCATTTATACCAATTTGTCAGGCCGGCTCCGTGAAATGGGTATGTGGAAAATAAATGTTGAACTAGTTGACCAGATTGTCTGCCCGTCGAATCTCCACTCTACTCTCTCCCATGCAATTTGATAAATAAACAGACTCAAATGGCTCCTCCGGATGCAGGAAGCAGTGCCGAGGCTGCAAGAGGAAATAACCACCTGTCCCACACTAGATACGCCTTGCTCGTGCAAGAGTGGTGAAGTGGAATGGTGTCTTTAGCCGTGTACCGGTTGATGCCCCAGAAATGGACGAGGGCATACAATTTTTGAATGACATGAAATTACGGTATCCTTTCTCTGATAGCCGCAGCACTTTCATCCACTTTCTACATTGACGTGGTCATTATTCACGATATCTTTTACTAACTCCCTTACTACCTCACTGAGCAGACACTGAGCACGACGGAGCATTAGTCCTTGGTCACGTGATGGGCATGAACATGATCTGTGGTCCCCTAAGGCTTTAGGGGCCTGGTAGTTATATATATTGATTGCTACAGACAGATCTGGTCATGCCCAGATCTGGCTATGACCTTTTTGGCCTAGTGGTTAGTTAGAATCTGTGTCTTATGTAATATTATAGGGGGTAACTAACTAGTTAACCAGTTAGCAACCCTATAACTAATCCTTACGGAATTACAGATCACTGTCTCTGAGCCCGTGCTGACGTCTACTCAGTGAACCTGAGCCTGAGCGCCCTCATAAAAGCGGCGGCAGCCTAGACAGGAAAGACCCCACTCGGCAGACTTTACCCTGTCTATATAAGTAAGTGCATATAGATCCAGTCCTATAACTTCTCTCCACACGTTCCCCAAGGAGTAGTCCTTCCTGCGTAATCCGTAGACGTTTCAAATATCTAAACAGGCAATTCGATACGTCTTCTTGAGCCTTACTCACTTGCAGTTCTTGAGAAATATATACATAAATATCTTCAAAAGAGATGGTTTCTCATTCCAATTCCTGAATAAAAAAGAAAAAAAAAAGCACGGCGTAAAAAGACGAAAAAAAGGTTAGTTAATACTTAGTAGCCTATGAGGCTCTAGGGAGATGTAAAAGCCAAGGCCGCGCTGCCCGACGGGATCTCAAGGAATCAGATGAATATATAAATATAGCATAGAAGGAAAATACCTAGGATAACTATATAACCTATCATATATAATAGAGATTTTCACAGAATAATTGGAATAGACATAAATATCAATATACGAGTATTAATATGAGGCTTAATAATAATCCCCAGATGTACCCGTGCGCCCGATAAAAACATCAAGCTCTCGTGAGTCTTCACACCCCTTGGCTTTATGAATTGGCCATGTGCAGCTTACCTTTGATTCTTGATACGGCTCCCTGCAGTTTTGAGCAATGAGGTTCTTATAATCTCTAAAAGTACGTGTGCAAACATCGCTATCGGAGCAAACGGACTCGGGGTCTGACATTGACATTTGAATCTCTAGTGGCTTCACACCCTGCCAAAGCTGGCCCAGGCCAGACAATCCTGCCCCTCATTCCTGATGACCTGAAACCCACATCACATCATAACCTCGCATCTCCACCGGATCGCCGAGGGACCAAGACCGCCCAGTCAACTCCTTTACACAGTCGCGACTCCTCTGCCGTCCGAGGAAGACCAGTTGATCCCTCCACTCTCGCCCCTATCCAACCCCGACGCGGTCACTCCGGTTCCAAGAGCCCCGATGTATCCGGTGGCCGTCCCCCAGGATATGACGTTGGATTAGAACGACGGCCCTCCAACTCGTATGGTCACCACCGGCAGACTTCCATCGTCCACGGGATGCAGCATTCGCGAAATACGAGCATGGCCGGATCAGCCGCTTCCACAAGCCCTTTGAGCCCGGAGCTCATTGCCTCCCTCGGTCGCGGTGCATTTGATGAAGCGACCCTCCCTGCGAAATTCGACCCTGTCGATACACACTCGGGCTATTCGACACCATCTGGGGTATCCGTCAATCATGGATTGCCGCCAACACTAAGTACGATACAAGACAATGACACAGCACCGAGGGATGTGAGTCCCGCCGCTCTACTGCACAGCCGAATGAATTCGGGAGGGAAACCAAGACGCGAGCGGTCCGATAGTCGGTCACAGTCCAAACATCACTCGGAATCAAAGACGGTTGGGGAATATGCATTGCATCATCTGTTCAACTCCTTTGTTGGACAGGCGGACAACAAGATCAACCAGGCCATCATGAAATTAGGGGAATCCGATGCTCCCGTGGAGGAGGTTTGCGGACCCGGAGCAGATCCGACGTTTGATCAATTGATATCGGCTTTGGGACATATCGCTCGGCAGAAACCGAAACCTCTGATTGATACAATTATGTTCTGGCGTAAGGCCAAAGGAGATGCCGCTATTACGGCGAGACAGATGTTGAATGAGCAAAGACCCTCGCCCGCTGCCACAGAGAATGGTCCACCCCTCTTGCGCCGCAATACCGAGCCGACACAGCCTGCTGAAACTTTTCTCCATCGTCCCGACGATGTCGCTCTCATAGAGCGACGTGCAACGGTCTCAGTATACTTAGTCTGTAGAGTCTTGATTGAGATTTTCAACCAGAGTAGCCTGGCTTCAATCACTTTCGACATGGCCGATCGCCTAGAAGACATTGTGTTTGGCCAGGTGAAGACCTCTGACCCAGACCAGATTTCGGCATCACCTCTGCGGATGGCTAATTGGAGAATCTATGGCCAGTTGCTGGGTATCATGAGTGAATCCAACTTCTCCGGCGTCGCTGGTCGTTACTTGACGGAACTCGAGCGTTATCAGAAAGAGGAAGCTGCCCGGGGGCCAACTCGCGAGGGCGATTCAAAGTCAGAATTGTTAATCCTCTGCATGCGATATCTGCGTTTACCTATGACTTTAGAAGGGTGGCCCAAGTCTTGCGATTTCATGCGATCGTTGGCACGATTGTTTGTCAATGCTCACGGCCAGCGTATCAAACAGGCGTACTGCTATGTGATTGAAAAACTTCTTCTCCCTGTCGCTGCCAACCCGAACTGTGATCTCTCACTGCCTCGGTGGAAGGAATTCGTGGACCTGATCCAACCGCGCCTGACACAGCTTCTTATCAAGCCTCGTCATTGGACATCTTCCTTCTCGTTGAATGTGCTGTTGCTTTGCATCTCCAACAAAGAAACCTTCTCTTCGCAATGGCTCTCGATGATTTCGAGCTTACCTGCACGTCTGAAGGACCGTCCTACTCGTGCACCCGCCCTGCACGCCATCTGCCGTCTGGTCTGGACCTATTTCTTCCGCTTCTCCGACTCCCCCACAACCACTCTTCGCAAGGTTGAAGAAGTGGCAAAGATTGCCCTGCCGACTGGCAGGAGAACGTACATGAGCGCAGAGCCGGTGTTTGCGGATCCGTTGATTCAGCTAATTCAAATCATCGGTTTCAAGCATCCGGATGTCTGTTTCCGTAGCATTATTTTTCCTTTGATCAACTCGGATCTGTTCCTATCAGGCAGAGAGTTGAAGATAGAACAAATGGAACCGGAGAAAATGGTCATTGGAATTCGCGCTTTCCTGGCTACAATGTCTGATCTGGAGACAAGTGACCAACTGTGCCCTCCGATTCCGACTGGCTCGCTCCCAAACCCTTTCACCGACGTTTCCACCCCAGTGTATTCCCATCGACCCCAGCTGCTTAAAGAGTACAAAGTGCCTATTTCTTCCCAGAAGCAAGACTTAACTTCATGGCAACCTGTCAATACCGCGAGACTAAGTGAGAATGTGAAGGAATACTATTTCCGTTTTTGTGAAGTTTTAGGCAAGATCACTTTACTCTGTGATAACACATTCGGCGGCCAGGCAGTTCTGGACGAGAAGTTCGGTGGAACTACGCCCAAGACTCCAATATCAGAAGCTTTTAGCTTCGGTCGTCGTGGTGATGACCATGTCACAACGCTGGACCAGAAGCAAGGGTTCTACGATCTGCTTCATGTAGCAGTCCAAGCGCTTCCTCGCTGTCTCTCCGACCACATCCCATTCAATTCGCTCATCAATCTTCTTTGCACGGGAACTGCCCATGTCCAGTCGAATATCGCTACTTCCTCGGCTGAGTCATTGAAGGCCATTGCGCGTCAACTGCACGCCCAACAAGTTACAATCGGCTTTGCTAGGTTCATATTCAATTTTGATGAGCGCTATTCCACCATGTCGGACGAAGGAATGCTTGGACCGGGCCATATCGAGTCCACTCTGAGACTATACGTCGAGTTACTGCAGATCTGGATTGCCGAGATCAAGCAAAAAACAAAAGGCGCGGCAGCGATGGACCAGCTGGAGAGATCCATTTCTGGTAGCCGAGCTCTGCACCTCGATTTATCGAGTATCCTCGCCCATGTGGAGGAGATTGAGTCACATGGGCTCTTTTTCTTGTGTTCTCAGTCAAGACGTGTTCGGGCCTTTGCTATTACTGTCCTGCGCTTGATCACCGAATTTGACAGCGCTCTCGGAAAGGAAAACACAAGAATCATCCGGATCCTTGAGGCTGACTCTCAGCAAATCCTAGAGGTGAACGATGAGCAGCTGACTGTGGCAGAGCGGAGCCGAATCCAAAAGGGTAAAAGGAGAAGCGCCTCCCAAAATACTCTTATCGAATTGTGTAGCAGTGAAGTCTCTTATGATTCAACATTGTGGGCCAAGGTATTTCCCAACATCATTCGCGTCAGCTTTGA